ATGAGTGACTACAGCTGGTGACTTCTGAGGCCATTTAAATAGGGCTCGTTGGATACAAAGTACAATGGGCATGAGCTCAGCATGGATCTGAAAAAGCGAATGATTGACTTGAACAAGTCAGGAAAGTCACTTGGAGCCATTTCAAAGCAGCTGCAGGTCGCAAGAGTGCAACCAATTGTTGGTAGGTATAAAGTGCATGGCACTGTTTTGTCACTGCCACGATCAGGAAGAAAACGCAAGCCATCACCTGCTGTTAAGAGAAAATTGGTCAGGAGGGTGAAGAGTCAACCGAGAACCACCAAAAGGCAGATCTGCCAAGAATGAGAAGCTGCTGGAACACAGGTGTCCACAGTCGAGCTTCTTCTGCATCTCCATGGACTGAGAGGCTGCCGTGGAAGAAGGAAGCCCTTGCTCCTAAAGCGGCACCTTAAGACCCTGTTTACACGATGGGAAAACGCATATATTTTCATGCATTTTGGCCTTTCATTTACACAAAAACTGAGGTTTTATCATGGAAAACGATCATTTCTAAAAACTCCGGCCAAAGTGGAGATTTCTGAAAACTCCGTTTTTGTGTTTGCGTGTGAACGACTAAAAATGCTTCACATCATGTGAGCGTCCTATGTGGGTGCGACTGTGGGTGAGTGGGGAGCACGGTCGTCCTCCAATCAGAGGGTTGTCTGTTCGATCCCAGGCCCGGCTAACCCGCATGTCGTTGTGTCCTTGGGCAAGACACTTAACCCAACATTTCTCCTGCGACTACAGTGTGTGAATGTTAGTTACCGATGGCAGGTGTCACTGTTTATGGTTCTCCTGTCATCAGTGTATGAATGGGTGTGAATGGGTGAATGATTTCATGTAGTGTTAAAGCGCTTTGAGTGGTCGGAAGACTAGAAAAGCGCTATACAAGTACATTCCATTTACCATATGTTTACAGTTAGAAAGGAAAAGGAAGTTGATCGTGTTTTTCGTAGTTGTTGTTGGTTTTGAGAATTCTGATTGGTTTGCACGTCTTTATCCTTCTCGTTACACTGCCGACTACAGGTTTGGCATAGTTATGATGGCACCCGGGTCCGTATTTATGCGGGTTCATAGAAACAGAAACATTTTTGAAAACGACCTTGTGTGTACGACGTTATTTTTGAAAACGGAGGGACAGAAATATTCGCCATCAGCCCAAAGGGTGGGTCTTGGGCGCAGTTCCTTGGGGTGTTCCAACAGGACAATGACCCCAAACACACATCAAAAGTGGTAGTAGAATGGCTAAATCAGGCTAGAATTAGGGTTTTAGATTGGCCTTCCCAAAGTCCTGACTTAAATCCCATTCAGGACATGTGGACAATGCTGAAGAAACAAGTCCATGTCAGAAAGCCATCAAATTTAACTGGCCTGCAGCAATTCTGTCAAGAGGAGTGGTCAAAGATTCAACGAGAAGCTTGTGGATGGCTACCAAAAGTGCCTAATTGAAGTGAAAATGGCCATGGGACATGTAACCAAATATTCGCACTGCTGTATGTATATTTTTGACCCAGCAGATTTGATCACCTTTTCTATTAACCTATAATAAAGTCATAAAAGAACCAAACTTCATGAAAGGTTTTTGTGACAAAGAAGTATCTGTTCCAATCACTCTCAGCGAAAAATATTTTACAAATAACGGGAAACTCAAGAGAGCCGTGACACTATTCTTTACAAGTATATGTACATTTTTGACCACAACTGTAAGTCCTTCAAATTTTGAAACTATTGACATGATTTTAATCTTCCCCAAATGTTTTTTGTTCCACATTTTTTACGTTGTAGAATGTATATGCTCACTATCAATGACTGCAAATAAGTAGAACAAGATTTCAGGCCGTAAATAAACTTGAACATTCTCTTCCATTACACTCTCCAACTATAATTACGTGGCTGCTAAGGATGCTTTGTGGTTTACTTGTGTTCACTGGCCCCATGAAACCGAAACGGGGAGCCTTGATTCTTGGATATTTGGTGACTTCGTTCACCACATACCTAGCCATTGCACTTGTTTAGCACAACTGAGATTGGGGATTGAATAACCTGACTTTCTATGTTCTCTGGATGATTCTTCATAAGTATGAATAATAACAATCCTGAGAATGTTAAAATATTCCATTCCCAAACTCGGCTGTAGTAAACTAGAGCAATGTCATTTTCTCATTTATTTTTCTACCGTGTTTGTTTCTTAATGTTTGGGGTTTTCTTAATTTGAGGTACCCCAGAGAAAAGGCCTCGCCCCCGCAGCCTGTCTGTGTGAAGTTATTGAGTTAGGATGAGATTCTCATGACCCTGGATCTGTCCCTTGAGGATGTTCAGAGGAGTTAGCATGGCTAAATCTAGTGTCTGAACCCCTCTTTGAGGTCAATATAAATACAGCAGCCAGTTGAGAGGCAAAGCGGAAATGAGATGCAATAACCTTTAATCCACTTGTCCAATTCTCCCACTCTGGGAAAACTCTGCATGCCAGATGTACAAAAAAAACCCCATACATTCAAAAGTCAAATTTATAAGACATTCTTCTAGAGATCGAAATGTCAGAGATACCCTACGCTCACTGCAGAGCGAGGGCCTGGTCACATCTTTTGGAGATACATGATCAGAGGGTATGTTGACTTTGGACAGCGCTCCGCTGTAGAGCCAAATCCTGTTTTTGTGCGCAATTGCCAACTGCATTTGTTTAGCTCTGGTTCGCAGAGATAGAGCCTTATGGTGTCCAAAAAGCATCCTGTCAATGTACAGGAAGTGCACTGACCAATGCGGAGAAGCAGCTTCAAATGGAAACAGAGAGTGGCTGTATATAACGTGTTGAATGTCATCTTTGTTCTCCACTGTGGGAGGGCCACAGAAATAGTTCACATTACTGAGTGTGCTCACAGTTGGCAGACGGCTGCAAATACCAACAATTTTAATTCATGTAATAGGGGTTTATTAAAGTAACCATGTTTGAAATCCCTATTCAGATTTCATATTAGGGCTCAAGAAATGGGTCTACAAATGAAATGAGTAGTTTAAAAAGTTTGTGAATACACTCACTGTGTTTCTGAAAGCAAGCTGAGAATATTATGTCAAGCCATGTCTGTGTGAGTATTGGGCTAGAGTAGAGAATAGTTAACCTAGCTTAAAAACTAAGTAGGCCAACTAGGAAACCGCTAATCTGGCTCTGTTACGAGAGTATAAGTCATTTTTCACAAACCTCACATCTGAATATTCTGACGGAAATACAATTTTTCACATTGATATACCTGGAGAATAGGGTTTCACAACGCAGAACAAGCTAAAAATACAGATAAGCAAACAATATTGGCCTATGTTCACGACGGAGGTATGGTACATTGTAATATTAGAATGCATTTGGTGTTGTGCCTCGGATACACAAATAATGCAAGTCAATTACTTTTATCTGTTTTGGTCTCCCCCTAGCTCATAGCTTTCTCTGTAGCTGCTTAATGTTCATCCACCAGACCGTTTCTGTCTGCTTCTTGTTGGTGATAATTTGCTGTACTGTGGGTTTATCAGAGCTTTTTCCCAGCAATGTAGCTGGAAAGTATTGGGTGGAGTATTTGAGAGACCACACGTTGATTAATGGGTTTTAGGGCAGTCTGAGCTTAACTTTAGACAGGGCCAGACAAGTTGATACCCTGCTTCCATTGTTTATGCTACACTAGGCCTGAGCCTAGAGATTGATATCAATCGTCTCATTACAGTCAAGTAAGTGATAAGTCTATTTCGAAAATATGTAAAAATGTTCCTTTTAGGCCTGGAGCAAAGGCAAATAATTTAGTCCTCCAAACATTTCAAGAAGTTAGAAAAATGTTATTCCACAAATTGAGTTGTATATCTGAGAGGCATTCCTTTTAATTTTGGGGACTCTAAAGAAGCCATGTCCTGCTTCACGACCATCCGCAGAGCCTCCCCTAATCTTAACCTGCCCTGTGCTCCAGCAGCTGTTTAACCCATTACACACTGTCACACAACTCACAGGCCTAAAGCCCTTCAAAACTCTAAAGTTGCTTCACAAATGGTTAGTGGTTTGGGATGTCAGTGCTTTCCCTATAAACATGTGGTTGTTTTCTCCTAATGACTCAGAATACCATTTGGGGCTCGAACTTGTATCTTTTTTCGGCGAGCACGTTTGCATCATTAGATGCCGTTTTTAAGGTTCAAGTGTTTACATTGAAGGTTGGCATCTTGAATGTTTATTTGCTAGTGATGTATGGGTCTGGTCTCAGTGCACGTGAATTGTGGGTCAGGGGCCACAGGAAAAAGGGTGTCTGCGCTGCTTTTTCACTGGGGGATTTGCATCAGCTAACTAGAGAAGCATGTCTTTGTCTCGCAGTCCAACCGGGATTAAATCGAAGGAAAATGGGAATCATAAGTAGCCATAGAGTAGTGTTTGTGAATGGCCGTTGCATGGATGCATCAATGTCCAGCTAACTGAGTGGAACAAGATGGTCAAATTCTGCAGTTCTTACAGACTGCTATTGTATGCCTCATTGAATGGTGCAGCTTCAAAGTGGTTCAAAGGGGTGTGTGTGTGTGTGTGTGTGTGTGTGTGTGTGTGTGTGTGTGTGTGTGTGTGTGTGTGTGTGTGTGTGTGTGTGTGTCAGTCATTGTCACACTGTCCCGAGAAACTGTTGAACAAATGTGAGACAGGATGCAGGTTTTAAAATGACATTCTCTAAACGGGTGGGGACTGCTGCCCTTCATTGAGCTTTTCCCCGCAACGGACTCGATGCATAAATCGTCTTAAAGAGGTCATATTATGAAAATGTCACTTTGTTTGTACTTTTACATGTTAATGGGGCTGTTACCAGCTGTTTTCCTGCTGCTTCAGGATACACAGAATCAGAGATAAGAAAAAACTGGGCTCCGTTTTAGATTCCAGTGAGTTGTTTCATCACTGTCACCTGCTTTGGCGAGTGACGGTGACTTAACAGAAATATGTTTGAATGACAAATCTTTTTCTGTTCCACCTGCAGGTGTGTGCAAAGGGATTCTTCCTGAGTGAACAAAGCATATGCTTGCCGTGTAACTGTAAAGGCCACGCAGACTACTGTGAAGACATCACTGGCGTTTGCATAGTAAGTTTCCCTCCACGTTGACTCCCTCTGAGTCAGTACGTTCACTATTTCCATACCCATAATACTTCTTGTATTTTCCCTTTCAGAACTGCAGGGACCACAGTACTGGGGATTTCTGTGAAATGTGTGAAGATGGCCACATGCTCGCTCGCAGCCTGGACGGACAGCATTCCTGCCCACCCTGCGCCTGCCCCCTCTCCGTCCACTCCAATAAGTAAGTCAGTCTTTTTTTGTTTCTGCAGTGGTAAAACCGGGCATCGGCGAGCTGTGGGTAATCCGTGAAAATGATTTCCACACTGTGTTCCTGTCCAGCTTCGCAGTGCGCTGTGACAAAGGAGGTGGCAGTCTACGGTGCAAGTGCCAAGAGGGCTACGCCGGACATCTCTGTGAGAGGTCAGTGCCAAGCAGAAAGTATTCATGTACAAAATAAAAGGTGCCATTATGTGCTTGGTGCTGGTTGTCGGTTTGTGTATCATCATCATCAATTTACTCTTTCGGATCAAGGTGTTCTCCGGGCTTTTATGGCAACCCAATGGTGATCGGTAATTCCTGTAAGCGATGCAACTGCAACAGCAACTCCGACCCTAACCTGATCTTCAACGAGTGTCACAACGTGACGGGCCACTGCCAGCACTGCTGGGGAAACACCGCCGGCGCCAACTGTGAGAGGTGTGCCCCGGGTTTCTACGGTGACGCCATCAGCGCCAAGAACTGCAAAGGTGGGAAAATGAGTTGTCTCGTTCGTCAAAGACAGGTTTCATCCGTGCTTGACAGACACGGGATATTATGGGGAGCGTCTAATGTTCAAGAGTTATTCTTCGGTGAAGGTAAAGCTGCACAACATGTTTGCTGTTTACTTTCAAATGTACTTTTCTTCTTAGTTATACCACAGTAAATCCAAAGTACATCTTTCCACATTATGTGCACCATGGTTTGTGTGTCATCCTGATGCTGTTAATCAAGGATTACCGTGCACCTTTTTGGAGGCCTTTCAAGTCTAGAAATAACCCTCTCCCCCGTGCTTGTGACATCTGACCTCTAATGTCCTCATCGCTGAATATGCTCTCCGTCCGTTACAGAATGTGAGTGCAATGCATGTGGCACCTCTTCATGCGACGACAGGAAAGGAGTGTGTCACTGCAAGCCGGGTGTCACCGGACGACTCTGTGACCAATGCGAGGTGAGAGGAGCCACGTCACTGGTAAAAGGAGATTCAAGGTTCAGGTTTTTTTGGCTATCATACCTATTTGCAATAACAACATTTTTGAAGAAACATAGTTAAAACAAGATCACACTGTTAGCCAAAGTAATTTGGCAGAAATATTTTTAATTTAAACCACTTCAAATCTGAATTAAGTGTTGGGTTAGGAAGAGTTAAAAAATGAAAGCAGTAGAGATGTCAATTGACAGATGAAGGGTGAAAGCAGTTAGTCCTTCACAGCAAAAGCAATTAAAAACATTTAGATTGCAGCTGAAGTGGAAGTGCTTCAGGTTGTTGTGTGGTGCATGCAAACAAAAATCACAGATGTCATAAACTGGAATAATCCTTTAATTGATGGACGACATAATTGTTGCTAAATGCATTAACATGAACAGCAACAGCCAGATGCTGAAATCTAACAGTGTTTTTTTCACTAATCTAGGAGGGCTACTTCGGTTTCTCCGGCTGTCAGGGCTGCCGGAGGTGTGAATGCGGGCCAGCTTCCATTCGTCCCACCTGCCATCCCCTCACCCACAGCTGTCCGTGTCGTCCAGGCGCCGGAGGTCGTTACTGCGAGCGCTGCCTTCCAGGCTACTGGGACTACAGCTCCGCCGGGTGCCAGAGTAAGAGTTTTATTCATTCCTAGGGCTTGTCCAATGTTCTCTTGCTTTCATGAAAAAAAAAAAAGTAAAAAAAGAGAGCGCAAAACACTCAATGCAGATAATTCTTTCCCAGAGGAAACCGCTACGCTGAGTGCTCACGTTCCCACACCCACTACCACAGTAGTGTGCATGATGTCAGAGCAGCATCTGCCGAGAGCGGCCACCCTAGGGCCAGAGACTCTCTGCTGAGAGCTGGATGACATCACTATTCGGCCCCAATCTATAGACACACACAGCTGCTAACACGATCCCACACTCAGCAAGACCGATGTAAAAGCCAAAATTACCATCTGTGAGTCCTTACATATGCTTGATAACTGCCCTAAACTGTTTCCAGCTGATCTGCAATTTAGGATTTCTGGCTTCCACTTGATGAAGTATATGTGTTTTTTGCCTTTTCTTCCCACAGAGTGTGACTGTGAGAGCGGCCACTGTGATATGCACACAGGAGAGTGCCTAGCAGAGTCTGCAACCGTCAATTTGTGCAATATCAGTGAGTGGGCTGAACAACAGTTTTGAAAATAGCAAAACACAAACTTGAAGTCTAAAGTTATAGCATAATTGCAACTCTGGTGCAATCCTTCATTTGTCTTTGGTTTTAGGTTGCGATGAGTGCATTTGGCATCTAATCGGGGACTTGCGTATGTCCAATAAGACGTTGGACCAGCTGAAAGTCGGAGTGTTGAACATCTCCACTGGCGCTGCTGCCAACGACAGGCTCAAATACTACAACTATACCGCCCAACAGCTGCAGGTACAGGCCAACAAACAAGTGTAGACAATAATGTGACATCATGTTAACTAGCTAGTGGAGCTGTACACAATCATTCCGGGAATGCAGTGAACATTACAGATGAGCAGTGTAACTTTTCCTTGACATGTTCTTGACAGCATAATTCCCACTTTTACCCCCAGACCCAGTTCCAAGGCTGGAGAAACAAGTCATCTTTGATTAAGCCTCAAACTCTGGAGCTCGAGAAGGCCACAGACGCTGTGGTGATGGACATCAAACAGCTGGGCGAATCAGTCAGTCAGGCCATCATCCACCATTTAAACCACTTTAATCATGTTATTAGATTAGATTGGATAAAATGAAATGAGAAAGCTGTATTAATCCTCTATACAGTCAGACAACGGCTTTGATGTATTGTTTGAGTACTATAATAACCGTCTAGGTCTGCAAATAAAGATTTTTAGAATCAAGGGATTTTATCCACAGATTGATGTGTCACCGATTTTGTTTTTGTTGTGGTTTTCCAGGAGAGTGTGGTGAAGACTCTCGGGAATGTACTGCAAAATGACACGCTAGAGACTGTCACCCTGGCTGAGCAGCTCAGCACAAACCTCACTGATCTCAACCTACGCATTGAAGGTACCCAAAAGCTCTGGCCTTTTGTCAGGGTCACTACAATCACAAAGTTCTCCTGCTGGAGAGAATAAAAAGTTTATTGACTATTTATTTACTTTATTTATACTGCAGGCTGCATGCCCTCCTTTTAAAACACATTAACGGTCTTATTTAAATAACTGTATGATGCATGTGGCATCGTACATTGTGCACATATTGATTCGCCTTGATTGCGCTATGTGAGGCACAAAGGTCTCTTAATATGCATAGCTGTGTTAGTTTGCCTGATGAAGCAAACTATCTCTCATTCTTTTTTTGAAGCAAGGTAGGGGCCTGGCCCATCGCTCTCTAGATGGCAGATTTGGCAATTTGTTTCTTTTTTGGAATGAAAATCTAGTTTTTGAAAGGATAAACGCCAACACTAGGATTGACCTTTTTGTGATATTATCATTAACTATGCAAGAGTTTGACCCTAAACATTTCAATTTTTACATTTAGTTAGCAGGAAAATACTGTTTTTATCGGTCAATGGCACAATCTCTTTCTGCTGCGTCAAGACATCAATGTGACCAAACCTCCTTTTAAGGACATGGGTGTAAGTACATACTTGCACAACATAGGCACTAGGCGTGCAAATAACGGCAACCATTGGAAACTGGTAGTGAGGACATTGGGTGTAAGATAGAGCCCTAAATATATAGTTTGCATTTCAAAAACCTTAGTCTAAACTTCTTAATCTAGGTCACTTATGTATTTAGGTTCCTAACGTGTGTGTGTTTGTGTGATTTGTACGTATGTGCAGAGATGATCCATGACTGGGAGCTGTACAGTGTTCACCAGGACGTGGATCCAGAGGTAGCCAAGCAGAACACTGAGCAGGCCTATGCAATGGTCACCTGGATGAGGGCACTGGATCTGTCCCCACGGGAGCCCATCGCGACCGATGAGTCAACTGAAGCCCACGACCGTGAGGAGATACACAGCAGATCACAAAATCACTTGAGTGCAAACGCAGGCAGAAACAGGCTTCTTCTTGTTATGTCAAGGAGTCGTCTCTGTTTACATCTCTGTAAACTGAGTTCCTCTGACTAAAAACTAATTGTTGCTAGCAGGTTTCGGAGGTTATTTTTCACATAGGTGGTTTTGAATGGGAGTGGAAGGGCTGGTATGAATATAGAGGGCAGAATTATCCAACCAATATTTGAGTGGTCATCGTACATCATTCCCTTGTGCCCTCCCAAAGGATATTGTACATCTAAGAATTGAACTAGTGTGCAGCCATTTTTACCCCACAGTAAAAGTAATACGATTGTGACGGGGCTTTAGGAGAAGAAACCAACAATCCCACCTGGGGACTTACACCCCAAGAAATACAGATTTAAATACCCAAGGCACGCAAAAACGTCACTGTGGATAAGGCAGAGACATTTTGTTGTAATAAAGAAAAAGGTTTTATTACAGAAAGCAAAAATACCAAGGTAAGCACAAATCACTATAAAAACGGGGTTTAAGATTATAAAAAGCAGGGCAGTTGACTTAACACAGCAAACAAACAGGACAACAGCAGAAAGTAAAGAAATCATAAGTTTACAAAATGGAAAAACAGCAGAAAGGTTCTCCCTCTTTCTCTCTGTACAGCACAGGACCACAGGGGGGCTTTGTGTTAGTATGCAGAATACAATTTAACACCAACACAACATGCAAACATACAACATAGCTGTATGTTGTATGTTTGCATACTTTGCATCCTTTGGTCCAATAGCACAGGACCAAAGGAGAATGACGCCATGACGGCAGTTGCTTTTTAAAGGCTGCCACTAATTGGCCATTTGGTAGGGGAGGAGCCAGCCGAATTGCTGTGTACCCAACTCCACCACGCAACCAATTAGTACTGAAAATAAATTGCAGTAAACCAAACTAGTAAAACAAATAGATAATAGAGTCATTCAAATGCATTCATTCCTTGTGTTCCCAGTGCTGAGGCGCATACGTCAGTTGGAGAAGAAGTTGATGATCACAGACGGCCGCCTATCACCTGTCAGGGAGATCCTCTCCCGCTTATCCGCCAAGCTGTCGGACGCACAGAGCTTCCTGCAGAAAGCGTCCGGCACCGTCCAGGAGACAGAGGACATGAACAGAGCCAGCATCCTCAAATTACAGAGGAGTGAGGTGATTTCCAAAGACAAACCCGATTTTTCCCTCTAACGCACCTGCGGAGTTCCACACCTCTCCTGCAACACTCCCTACTCTCTCTGCGTGTGGCAGTGCGGATAGATGCATTAGTAGACAGTCCTGCTGAGCTCACAGTCCCCCCTCCCCTCCTGTTGTGAGAGTGTGCTGGCACGGAGTTCCTCCTCTAAGTGCTGTCTGCTTTATCTCCCCTCATTAGGTTACAAACAATATTTTTGTTTTGCACCTCCATTGCCTTAAAAAATAACACAGGTAAAGCTTGTCCTTTGCATGAACCCTAAGAAAAAGAGAGAGCATGTCAGAGAAGTCTTTTACTGGTGGTATAAGTGCCGTGAACAGAAACACAAAACCATCTGTGGGAGCTTTGGACTGTTGCATTAGGAGGCCTGCCCAGGGGGAACAGCAGTATAATTAGTTTTTTCCAGGATCCAGAGCCTACTTACAGAAGGATCCCTTTATTCCCCTGTGATACAGAAGAATCATTACTCTAAAGAACATTCCTCTTGTCCCAACTCCGAGAGCAAAAACCAAATCATTGAAAAAGGTTTTACAGCTCTCGGCAAACATTATTCAGTGTATAGATACTGCAGGCATGTTGTGGCAACAGCATCTGTATGGAGCCAAATTCAGGGCAGTTCTGTTGTGTTCATTTGAAAAACAAATGTGAACCTAAAAGTTTTGTTGAACATTGAAAAATACAACAATTTATTCAAAATAAAAATAAGTGGACGAAAAATATTTTCAGGTTGAATATAGTTTCAACTCAGTTCAATAGTTGTTTTGAATAAAATATTTTAGCTATTGAACCGGGATGTCCGGGAAACCGCTCAATACTTCCTTAAATGGTGCACACTAATAATAAATATCCAACATGGCCAAACATTGTTAGGGTTTGAGGTGCATCCTACTTTGTATCTAATTGTTGCCCAACGATCTTCATCATTCTGAAGTCATAACACAAATTTGAGGGTGATTAAGTCACTCTTGCCACTGCCAGAGAAGCAAAGATTGTTGGATGCTACCATACACATACATAGGGTGGGAATTTGGAAATGAACTCTATTTTCTCACAGAATGAATGTTAAATGTGTGATAATGTGAATTTGAAAATCAATGATCATATTGGTCTTCACAGTTAAACACTATAGGCAAACGCGAAAAATAGATGGACATAGATGTTATTATTGAGTGTAATCAGGAGCGGGGATCAACATGATCAATGTCCCTTCTGTAAATGAATGCGGTCAATGGTGCACTACCCAAACATGGAGCCTTAATTAATCCGAGGCTGCTCCTAGTTTCAGCATGGACACGTCGACCCCAACTGCAGCCATAGTGTGCACACTGCCAGATTAACACAAACCGGCCAACACCATCAGGCTATACTCAGTCATGCAGTTTTAGCCCTGTGTAAAATTTAAATTAGTGTCCAATATACGCTTTGGTAAAAACATGCAAAGTAAACGAACCATAAGCAATGGAAAGTGACTTATACCTAGGCAGTTATATCTGAGCTATTTCTTTTGTTTTAGCATCATTCACCTTTTTTGTATTGATGTCAGTGCAGAGACGGACAAGACATGCAACAAAAGTCCCAGGCTAGAATCCAATTTGGGAAGTTAGTCATTTTGTACTAGGCAACCAAGACACTCAATTATTATAATATGAATTAGTCATATTAGTTCAATATTAGCCCACATTCAGCAGAAAAAGCCCCAAAAAGTGTCTTTGCCTAAATGACAAACAATTCCTTTGAAGATGGTGTTTCAAGATGTCTTGATGGTCAAAGTGGAGATCACCTTCTCATCTCATAGGGATCTTTAGTATATTTCTGGGGCTTGAATTGGGCTCCATTTCATTATGTTCACTTCTTGTGTCCTCAGGTGAAGCAGCAGAGGTTGGTGGAGGACCTCGCCACTGTGAACAATACGCTGGGAATTGCCAGAGGCTCCATCTCTGAGACAAACCGTACTCTGGTTGAGGTGGATGCCATGGGTGAGGTGAGGCCTACATGACGGCGAGGACCTATGACAGTCAGGAGGGAACCATGGTGACTTCCATTGCAGAGGTTGTTTGTTAGAATGGAAATAACCTCTGGTTCCCTGCTATCCAATGATGCTTAGTTTCTCTTCATGGCTCACTGAGTGGGGGGTTTTATGTTCCATAATCTAATTGACTGTGATATAGGGCGTATCTCAGAGATTGCATTGAATTTATTCATGAAATGGATTCCTGAGACGCAGCCTGTGTCGTATCTGAAACTGGCCAATTGGATTTGGAAGCAATTTGTGAATGCCAGAGATTGAATCAGCAGTGTTCTGAAACGGCTCTCCCGTTTTAGTCAAGTAGCTCTATATTAAGTTAGTACAATCATTTTGAGGTAACAATGTTGTATTGGCTCTAGGGTCAAAAGAAAAAATAATCACTTTCTGAGGATGTAAGAAAGGAAACCACCTCTACATAGATCACTATGGATTCTGAGATTGAGACATGAATGCATGGCGGAGGAAGGTCTCTGCAAATGGTAATTTGTTTGTTGTTTGTTCGTCTACATCCGCACAGAACCTGACAAAGTACCATGCAGCAATCGATGGCGCCGGCCAAAGGCTGATGGAGAAGACTGAACGTCTCTCGCTGGCCGACAGAGATCTGGTGCAGAGGGCCGATGTGCACGCCAACGAGCTGAACAGACAGGCCAATGAATTGGAGGAGTGAGACACCCAGTTACAACTATTTGCCAAAAACAATCAGACCTATGACAAGAGCAAAGGCAACTATGCATCAGTACATCTCTGACATTCTCTGCCCCGTCTGTGACACTAAAAGATGTAAACATTTTCAAATTTAGCAAGTTTAACTAAACAAAATCTTTTTAAAAGCTCAGTAAAGATGGTCACTTTTTAAAAAATCTACATACTGTAATGTAGTGCATATAGTTTTGCGGGGAGGTGGGGGGCTATTTTTAGGCACAAATTACTATACAATCCATACAAAAGTTCATATTCAAAGAACCCAGTGTGTGTTAAAGGTGATAATGTATATACAAACATACACCCAGTGCAACATTATCTCTGTTCCAATTGATGTATTTATGTGCTTTTAAGGTGCATAGCTGATCGGTTGTAGGTGTTGCCTCAGGCGTTCCCATAGCGTTGGAATGTTTTCCTCTACGGAAATCCTGAAACATGACCAATACAGGCTGACAAAACAACAATTTAAAGTTGTTCTGCACCAGGTTACCTGGTTTGGCCATATCAGCAATCCCTTTCACCTATAGTCCTATGATCCATGGTTGATATAAACATTTTGATTGGTAAAGCTTTCGTTTTAATGTGTTTTTATGAGAAGTGGGAGTTGATACTGTTCAACACAATATAGAAACACTCTGGTTTGACTGCAACATCCGTCTCCATGTCTCTACCAGCGATCTGAGAAAAAGTGATGCCAATGGCTTCGTGCAGAAAGCCATAAGTGCCGCCAACGTCTACAACAACATAGTGAAATACATCGATGATGCCAACATCACATCGCTCACCACCCACAACTTATCCCATCGAGCTGAAGACGTATGTGAAATCACATAAATAGGCCGTACTCATCCCCTCTAATGCCCGTTAATACTGCCACCTTGTTTTTATATGTCCCATGTTTCAGGCCATCACTGGGATAAATATGCAGCTTAAGTACCTAGTAAGGCAAAGCAACCAGGTTTTAAAGGAGTCTGTTTCATTACGTTCAGAACAAGACGGTATGTGGCTTTCACAGAATGTGTAATGAGTGTCTTTTTGCAGCTTTCCACAATGTCTTTACTCTTACTGTGTCACCCTACAACAGTGGTCGAACATGAGGTGGCTGACAAGCTTATATACATCGAGGAGACCAAAGAGACCGTGGGTAAAAACACCCAAAAACTTGCAGAAATAGTGGAGGATATAAGTGGAATTCATGCAGGTAAGGCAATACTTATTATTATTATTATTTAAAAAAAATACATGTTGCTGTTAAACCCACAGCTGGACGAGAAGATCTAATTTCCTATCTTGCAGAGGAGGGTCAGTGGTGTGCTTAGCCTAGTACAACAGAGAGAGGGAGATGGAAACTACATCTGTAGTTTCCGTTAGACTTCCCTTTCTTTGCTTGAATTAAAGGGTAGCTTCAACACTATGTTCTCCCGACTCGTCAAATACCGGCCCTTCAGTCAGTGGCTCAAAAAAGTATGTTTGGTACTTAACTGGCGTTGACTTATCAAGTAAGGTAAAGTCGCTGAACATACACTATCGGACACAGAAAATAGTCTCTTGAGTAAAATTCCTTCTACTCTCTACTACTCGCCATTTCAAACTTTGGGTTGACAGCAATTCACCTTTACTATTGGACAAAGACCTTGACAATATCAAGTATCACTTTATTTACTCCTTTTAAACTTCTGCCTCCATTACAGACAGAACACCACAGCGACTGGAGTTTACCCTCAGTGTGGCGGAGGGGACTCTCAACCACTCGGCAGAAGTCCTTCACACCATCAACCCCATCAGCACCAAAGTGGAGAAGTGGGCGAACAACATGAAAAAAAACGACTACTCTACAGTTGCTTACGAACAGGCTGTCCTTTCTGCCGGTGAAGCAGGTATAATTACTGCTGCAACACATGTCTTGGGCATTTTAAAGGTCCTCACTGTTTAACGGTGAATTCAAAATATATTAACCCTGTTTTGCGTTTCTTTACGCCTCTATTTGACTCTTTATTCAATTTAAATTCTCTTATTTTCCTGTTGTCGAATGTGCTTTTTAGTGGAGAGCCTGAATGTACTTGTTCCCAAGCTGCTGGACAAGCTGAAGGTGGTTGAGGAGAAGAAGCCTGTCAACAACGTGACCACCAACATCATGAGGATCAGAGAGCTTATCGCTCAAGCCAGGAGTGTGGCCAAGAAGGTTAGTTCATCATTGGGAACATATAATATGGGCATTTTAGGACCAAAGGTGCAGTGCTATTTGTTGAGGTTAAAAAGAGCACCATGTGACTCTTTGTCAAGGCTAGCGTGATAAGTTTACATACATTAGTCAACTATTAAATACACAAATGTAAAACAGGAGGTTTTACTTGCGTACTTCTGCCAAGCAAATAAAGGGTAGACGAAGTTGCCACTAGGAACGTAGCCGAGGCTGTGCCCACATCATTTCTCTTTTATAATGTATTTGTGACATTACAATGGGTGACCTCCTTGCTGTTTATTGCTAGACACTACACTGATAATTCTGCACCTTTTGGGGATTTTTTATAACCACATGTCTTATATTTCCTATTCAAAGCCACTGTCAACTAGTGGGTAAAGAAATCTCATCTTGTGAGATATTAATAGCTGATCTGTATCAATACCAATACTAAATACAGATAACAGTCCACAACTTGCTCTGAATGCTGGATCAAGTATTATTTGTACCTGCTACAAAATACTACTAATTCAGTACATTTGTACGTACTGTATGTATTTGTTTGTTAAAGTTAGTTTTACAAATTGAAATTGAATTGAATGTCTAAGGCGTTATGTTACTTTACACATAAAAAGAAAAAATTAGATCCAGTGCATTCCAGTTTGTAACGTATTACTTTTGCGATAACATTTGAAATGTATGGCATTTAAACTGATGTTGATGTCGCCATTAGCTCAAAGTCACTGTTTTTCTTTCTACACCAGGTCCAAGTGTCCATGAAATTTAACGGTCAGTCTTTGGTAGAGATTCATCCTCACAGCAACCCAGAAGACCTTAAGACGGTGACATCCATTAGCCTGTTCCTGAGGGTGGATCCTGACAAGGATCCCATAGAAGACCGATTCATCTTGTACTTGGGAAACAGAAATGTAAGGAATACATGGAAAACTCCGTTAGTTTAGTTAGCTTTGCTGTATGTGGTAATTAGTTACTATACAGGTTCTCCTATGCTCAAGACACTATTGAGCAATTGATCATCCCGAAACCCCAAAAGCTTCTCCCTTTGAAGATTGCCAAGAGGTGCCCATTCTAGGAGGTCCACAGAGTACACTTTTATATTCCAAGGGTTTCATCTAGAAGCGGAGCTACTTCATGAGATTAGAGAAGGGCCGACAATAATTTGGTGCCGTTTAAACCCTCAACATTATGAGATTTACGTGATGGGAAGTAGTATCTTTTCCATGCTTTCAACCTTTTTTTCAAAAAGGGTTCCTTAGATGAAAAGGTAATCCTTAATGGAACCCTTAGGCTTACAAAGAGCTTTGAAAAACGTATTCTATAAAACCATAAAATGGTTCTGAAACCTCAGCCCTTCAAGAGCACCCTTTTGTTACCCTTATTCCTAATGGTAAAAAATGAACGACCAGGCCAATGTTCTAATTTATATGGTTTAAATATATAGTTTAATAGTTTTAATAGCTAGGAGGTTTTAGGGAGAGTAGGTGGTCCAGATCTGCTGCTTAAACTTCACAAACTGTCCCCTGGAGGCCCAGGGCAAAGATGAGAGGCAGAGAGCTGCTTGTGGACATGAATAGTTTGTTGTGATCATGGAGGCTGGAATGCTCTTTCAAAAGGTCTCCAAGAGATGCCTGTTACAATAGTGCATGTGTGTGGCTTCGAAGTTGGACTTCATTTACATAAATACTGATAGCCCCCACCCACCAGGGTACTGTAACAGTGCGACTACCCAACGTGAGGCCTCTTGTTCTCTTTAACCACACTTCACCCTGGTGATTTCACAGCCACTGTTATGTATGCAGAGGTGTTTGTATACAGCTTTTCAGTGCTTTAATGCCTTCAGCACGGGCACAATAGGTTGTTTCAAATGAAGGATGTTTCTGTTTGTCAAACTATTATAGTCCAAGGTTGAATAACATACAATATGATCATTTCCCTGTTGGAAACCTCAGTTGTGAGCAGTTGTAAAATGAATAGTCAAAAGGCCATGATGGTAAAATTAACAGAGTATGAACTCACTTTTCTGTTTTTTTGGTCATAGGGTAGTAAAGACTACATGGGACTGGCTATCAAGAGCGACAACCTGGTGTTCGTGTACAACCTCGGGGGGGAAGATGTTGAGATCTCATTGGGTTCAAAGCCTGTCAGCCAGTGGCCCGCAGTCTTTAACTACATCAAAGTGGAAAGGTAATATCTGCAAATAAAAACATTTTTGGGAGTCTCTCATACAAACCGATTCCCCTAAATATTTTTCACCAATCATTTCAATGCGGCAGTGCAATCCCTCAACAAAATTGTGCCTGATTTAGGAGCGTTTTTTAGCCCCCCTCTTGACAACTAACTTGTCATGGTTGGTGACAATAACCGTTATTTTCCCCTTATTTACCTTTTAAAACGGAGCCCACTACAGCCTCTGAAAGATAATATGCCAGCAGACTATGGCTGTCAAAATCTCAGTGAGTATTAATGCTTGTCAACTTTGCTTGCAGGCTGGGCAGACATGGAAAAGTCTTCCTGACCATCCCCAGCCAGAGCTCAAACGACGAGCAGAAATTTATCCAGAAAGGCGTTGCTCCAGGCACGGACTCACTGCTTGACCTCGACCCCAAGGATATTGTGTTCTTTGTTGGTGGTGTCCCCCAAGATGTCAGGGTAATGCCCTTTTCAACCATTCCTTAGTATACATGAATACTCATTAATCTTTTTTTTTTCATAAATTATGACGTTTTTCTTTTATTTCTTCTTTAACCAGCTTCCACCTCTTCTGAGTCTTGCTCCTTTTGTGGGCTGTATCGAGTTGGGTTCGCTGAACAACGACGTGATCAGTCTATACAACTTCAAAGAGACTCACAAAATGAACGTTGTTACATCAACTCCGTGCCTCAGGTATGCTACATACAACTACAGCCCTGGAGTAAAGGTTTGCTGTCACTTCGTATCCCATCCTTGTCACCTCCAAATTCCAAGTACACTGCACACTGCAGGCTATAGAGTGATTGGCAGCCTCCTAGAGCTATACTCCTTCCGTTATTACCTTTCACAATAATAGATCGGAGAATAGGAGAAAACTGACAAAATAGCGCACAACACAATCACATGGCTTACAATAGCGATCTCCAGTCAGTGGAAATGACAGACAGGGAAAAACGTGGTTTAACTATGGAAACTCAAGCTCTTTCTGTTAGACTGTTCCGTTAGACAAAGAGCCTGTTTGATTTTGGAGATAAAAAAGAGGTAGAGAAATGAAAAACACTCATATTGACACTTTAAGTCTTTAAAACAGTTGACACCACTTAAGCATATAAAATTGCCACTCACTGAGGCCCAGCAGGAGTTTCTTGAACAAGACCTTGACACATTCTGCATTCTGAATATATCACACAATGTTTAGAAAAAAACATTTCTCCTTCTGCTCTCAGGTACAAGTTGGCATTTTCCCAGAGTCGCATTGCTAGCTACCTGTTTGATGGAACGGGCTACGCACTCATCAATAATATTGAGAGGAGGGGCAAATTTGGTGTTGTCACACGATTTGATATTTCTGTGCGAACTGTCGCCAACAATGGTGTCCTTTTACTCATGGTCAATGGGGTAAGTTTAAAGACTCACGCAGCGGATATGGAAGTAAAGGTCTAAAGTATAGTAACATACATTATAATATACATTAGCTGGCAGAGAATAACACAGTCGGACATTTAGCCTGCAGCCTGAGCTTGTGCATGCTGTCTATGTATGATTTAGCATACTTTGTTTGGTACATATTTTTCATTGTTTAATGTAACTGAAAAATTACAGGTAAATGTATTTTATTGTCTTCCTTTCAGGATAATTTCTTCCTTTTAGAGTTAAAGAATGGCTTCCTGCGCCTAATGTACGATTTTGGCTTCAGCAAAGGGCCACTACTTATGGAGAATAACTCATCGAAGCTGCAAATAAATGATGCGCGATACCATGAGGTAGATCTCCTCTTCTTGTTTATTCCGTAAGACAATTTCCCCTTGATCTTTTTGAATGTCATTTATTTTGTTTTTATGCTGGGCCATTTGTACAGGTGTCCTTAATCTACCATCAGTCAAAGAAGGTTATCCTACTGGTGGACAAGAGTCATGTTAAATCATTTGAGAATCCAAAAACCACACTGCCGTTCTCTGATATCTATATCGGAGGGGCTCCCTCGAGCATTCTCAAATCCAGGTAAGTCACTCAAAAGCTGAACTGGGCATCAACCAGTTGGAAGCCCCAAGTTCCAGAGAGCATTATATTTTATTTTCCAAATACCATGGATGGATCAGTTGGTGTTAATTAATTGAGTAAATGTGTTAAAAAGAAAAATCAGTTTTTGCATACATATCCAGCAGACACGGAGCAGTCTGCTCTGTAAATTATCTACGGCTCTTAACCCAGATTATGGGTGGACCCAGTTTATCGAGCAAGCAAGCATTAGCTGCTAATGGTACCATGCCCCGACGGATCTGGCTCGTTACAGTACGACCCTATTCTCCAAATATTGTCCTTTGTGGTTACCCCCCCAAAAAAGAAGGCGGCAGCCCAAATGCAAAACTTGTAGCTTAAAAACAGATGACCGAAACAAATGGGTAAAGTGCATTTACTACTACTAAAAGTTAAAGAGCCGTTTGTGGAAACCAAAGGAGAGTTGACATTCAGCAGGTTGCCAGCAACACAACTCCAGGTGAACTTGCAGTTTATTTCCTCGATCTGTAAATATGCAGCTATGATGAGCTTATAGTCCTGTCATAGTATGTTTTTTTGTCTTTTGTTGACTTCTTCGGCATTCTAGGGGCAAAACGTCTGTAACTCTAGTATTAAAAACTACAATGTCACATTTTCCTAAGTTTCAACGTGTAACATTTTATGTTTGTCAAGAGTTTTGTTGTAGTAACTTCACCAATGGGGCCAGATAGGTAACTCAATATGCCAGCATAAGAAAGATGCATTTTATATACATACAACGTTACTAGTGCAGCTTAGAAATTCCCAATAAGACTGACAATATGTCTATCACCACAGGCCTGAGCTGTCTGCTGTGGTAGGCCTGAAAGGCTGTGTGAAAGGTTTCCAGTTCCAGAAGAAAGACTTCAATCTGCTGGAGGAGCCTGGAACCATTGGTATCAGCAGCGGCTGCCCAGAGGAGTCCTTTGTAAGTGCTCCCTCCACCACTTTACATACTTTCAGCGATAATGGACTGCAAACATCCCCCTTGGACCAATTTAAAATAAGAATGATGAGAGTAGTCTAACAACAAGTCTAACAAACTTTCAGTCTTAAATATTCAGCAGTTCTTGTTAAAACAGCGTTCACACAATTCAAATGTTGTTGCCTTTGTGGCATTTCTGAACTGTAAACTGAACTCTGAGGGAAAGGAAATGGAAGATGAAAGTGAGATGTTTTTTTGTCGTGGCAGATGTCCCGGACAGCTTATTTCACCGGAGAGAGCTACCTGGGCTCCACAGCAAAGATTTCCCCCTTCGACAACTTTGAGGGAGGACTCAACTTCAGAACGCTACAGCCTATCGGACTCCTCTTCTATCTGAACGAAGGGGTATACATGTTTGTTTTAATACACATGGGAGGGGGGGATGTGAAAGCTGTTTAAGGCAAAATTTTGATTGATTCAGGGGATACAATTTTTGTGCAATTTCAGAGGATTTGTGGTACTACCAAGAAAAAAAACATAATTTAGTCATAAAAAGACCAAGATTTTTTTTCCATAGTTTTGTGATAGCTATTACCTTATTTTCCCCAACTTCAGTCTGATGAGTTCAGTATCTCTCTGGAGAATGGAGCCGTGGTGCTGAACTCCAGAGGCACTCGAGTAAAATCCCACAAGAAACAATACAATGATGGAAGGATACACTTCTTAGTGGCCTCGGTGAACAATCAGAAGTAAGTAAATAACCGCAGTTTTAGTCTCTGGTTTGACATACATTTAGACGCATGAAGTATTAAACTCTTCTTAGAGCTTCCATGTTGGAAATTATATATCACATTTTATTTGTTATATAAAAATGCATAAATTTGTTAGTTTGATTTGGTTTATTTGGCCTATACTATATAAATATAACGTGTCACAACTAACTGACTGATTGGTTTAACTGTTAACCTTAGGTATTCACTAATGGTGGACGACAGAGACAAGCAGGAGAAGAAACGTCCGTCATCTGCCTCAAGATCCTCCTCAGGTTCTGAAGTGAAGACCTTCTATTATGGAGGGTCGCCAAGCAGCAACTTCAAGAATTTCACAGGCTGCATCAGCTACGCCTACATCAACAGGTAGATCCCCGCTGAACAGTCCCTACAGCCTAAAGTAACAGGGAATGCAACTGATTGATCCTGCAGGTTAGCGTTATGCGTTATATAGACACCTTTTTGAAATAAAGACCTCCTTTAAGGATTGTTTACAGCATTGTTGTTAAATGGTCCTCTCCGTCCACACAACCCCATAACAGAGATTTTCAGCCATGATTGTTGTGGGTGGAGTATATCACATTTGTCCAGACCCTTTAGCAACCTCAAGTAAAGCCCTGGGTGGGCGAGATCAAATGTTTGGAATATAGATAGATAGATACTTTATTGATCCCTCAAGAGGGAAATTTTGGTATCACAGCAGCATGTACAGGGAAGAAAATAGAATAAAAAGATACACATTATATACAATATAATAAGATAGAAATATTAAATTAAATTAAGTTAAATAAACTAAAACTGAAACAAAAGAATAACCTTCCAAAAGAGACAATAATAATAATTTGTAAAAGGAGAAGAGGAAGAGCAGAAACATCACAGCAGTACAGGGTTATTATTGTAATTATTTAGCCAGGGATGATTTATTGTAGAGCGTTATTGCACTGGGTAGGAATGATCTCCTCTATCGGTCCTTGTGACAGCGGAGCTGAAGGAGTCTGTTGGAGAACGTGCTCCGCTGTCCCTGTAGCAGGTGGTGGAGGGGGTGGTCAGGATTATCCAATATGGATAACAGTTTCTTCAGTGACCTCCCCTCCACCAAATTTTCCAAGCTGTCCTGTTTGCAGCCAATGATGGAGCCGGCCTTCTTAACAAGTTTGTTAAGTCTGTTGGTGTCACCGGCTCCAATGCTGCTCCCCCAGCAGACCACGGCGAAGTACAAAGCACTGGCCACAACAGACTAATAGAACATCTCCAACATCTTGCTGCACACATGGAAGGATTGAAGCTTCCTCAGGAAAAAGAGAATATGAAAAGAGTTCTCAGTAGAACCACTAGTTTGGGTGAAGATGAGACCCGTGGAATGTGAAGGAGTGAAGGAGTTCTAACCTGGGTACTTTTTAGCACCCATAGAAGGTGGAAAGATTCTGGATACAACCTTCAAAGAAGGTTCATGACGGAACGATTCACAGATAGTGCTAGGTACAAACCTTTGGGTTTGAGGTAGAGCCTTTTGAAAAAGTATGCTGAATAGTTGAGGAAATGGTGTTTGTCGTTATGGGGACTTGGTGGTGTGTTGGATAGCTCTCTTACATGCATGTCTTCAGACAGGACCGGGACATTGAGCCAGAGGACTTCCAGCGATACACAGAGAAGGTTCAGACGTCCCTGCAGGACTGTCCAGTCCAGCGCCCCCCTGCTGCTCTGTTGTCAAGGCACAGGGAACAAACTTCTAGAGCCAAACAGGGCCCATCACACAAGGTAAAACAAAGAGTGATTATTTGGGGTCTTAGTTTAGTTGCAACAATTCGCATCATCTTGACTTTCAACAAATACCGACATAGGTTAGCAAGGAGATGTCCAGCTTACCTCTGGGCCTGATGGAACTGAAGAGTGACGACCAGGAACCATATGACTTGAACGTCGAGCCATGTTACCTCTCCTCAAGTCCCAGAGCAACCCGCCAAGCCTTCCACTACGGCGGTCTCGCCAACAGCAGGCAGCACTACAAAGACCTCCCAGACTCCTTCTCCAAGAGGTACGGCGAACAAAGAACTCTTTACAAGTAACCTCAAGGTCAAGTGCGTTTCCAAAGCCAAGGGTTTTGTTTTTTCTCTGCACGTATAACTCGATGCACCTTCCACCTATCAGGTCCCACTTCTCCCTGTCCCTGAAGACCCACTCGTCGTTTGGCCTCATCTTTTATGTATCGGATGTCCAGGAGGAGAACTTCATGGCTCTCTTCCTGGCCCACGGGAAGCTTGTGTACACCTTCAACGTAGCGGACCAAAGAGTCAAAATCAGGAGCGAGGAGAAATACAACGACGGTGCTTGGCATAATGTAGGTTCATGAGCTTATTCCATCAGTCAGTATCTATCGGATGCATGGGTGGATGCGCACTCAGTTATCTATCAATAATTTCCACGTTGACTTTCTTTCCCTTCTTCTGCTGCAGGTTGTTTTCATCCGTGATGGGAGTATTGGGCGGTTAATAATTGATGGGCTCACATTGCTGCAAGACAGAGTTCAGGAAGGCAACATCTCCTGGAATGTCACCAGCCCCTTTTATGTCGGGGGAGTTCCTCCAGATAGGGCCCAAAAAAATATCCAGGTATGGATTTAAATATACACAGAATGGGTCGTTTTGAACACCCAAATGATGTATCGGGCACGAACCTCCTACGAATCAATTTATGAGCAGTACAATATATGTTTTGGTGGAACTTTGGAAAAATCTTTACATGCATAAGGGAAAGAAGATTTTCTTGTAGAACAATGTAGAGAATAAAGTCGGGATTGCAGAGGTATATTTTCTCAACATTTTGACCTTTCTTTAAAAATAATGGCAAATAATGAAAAAAATAATAATCCCACATGATGCTGATTGTGTATGTTGAACTGAACAATGATCTGTTTTATTGAGAATACAACTTTTTCTTTGTAAGAGGAATTTAATTTATTATTGCCCTTCCAAACCATTGGATATTTATTCAACCGTGAATTTAATATCCATCTACTTGAGTATTTGAAGAAAAAACTCAATGATTATCTAACCTTCTGATATGCCTTGTCCCTTCAGAGAAACTCTGCGTACAGCTTCACCGGCTGCCTGAAGAACATTCAGCTCGACGGACAGTGGCTGTCCTCCGTGTCGGAGACTTTTGGGGTGACCCCGTGCTTCGAGGGACTCTCTGAGGCGGGAACATACTTCTCAAAAGATGGAGGATATGTCGTGCTGGGTACATTTTATTGTAGTTTGTTGATGGGAGAATTCAATGTTTTGTATGAACGTGGTACTTCAAAATTGTGGATGCTGTGCAATTTTCTTTTTTCTATATTTTGTTTGCAAAATTGAACATCTGTTATAATAGACGGGTCATTAGATTCTCTCTTGCAAAAAAAAAAATGCTACTCTCTCAGCATCCCTGAGTGCACAGAGAGTTTGGTTAAGTTTAGGGGAACATGATACCCTCGGTCCAACTCTGGTGAAATTGTGTCTCTGCCAAGAGGGGAGAGCAAAGGGAGGAAGGTAGGCGTGGTGATGTCCCTGAGGAACTTGGGAACGTGTAATTTCACACATGCTCACATCACAGAGAAACTTGCCTGAATAATGTGGTAAAGCGGTAAGGCCCAGAGCGCGTGAGGTACCCCAGAACTCACTTTGTCTTGCTCCCACTCAGATGAAACATTCAACCTGGGATTAAAGTTTGAGCTGAGGATGGAGGTGCGTCCCCGCATGGCATCGGGGGTGCTGCTGAATGTGCGCACCTCCGAGGGCTACTTCACCGTGTACCTTCATCAAGGGGCGGTAAGTTCTTGGCCCACAAAATAAATTGTGCTGATCAAAAAGGCCCCTTCCAAGGTATGTATGTAATGTGGGCTGTGGTCTTTTAGGTAGTGGTTCTTGTGAACGAGGGGTCCCATGAGTTCTTCACAAAGGTGTCAGCGAGACATGGGCTGTGTACCGGCAAGTGGCACAGAATTACTGGTGAGGATTTACCGAACTGTATACTGTTGGTAACTTTAATCAGAAAAGAAGTTGATGAAAAAGGTTTTATTCTCTTTGCACAGCATATTTTTATGATAGTTGATGATAAGTTTGTTTGGATTTATTTTTGCTAAACTGACTCATTCATCCTTGCTTGTTCTCAGTGATCCGTGACGCCAACGTCGTCCAGCTGGATGTGGACTCTGAGGTCAACCACGTGGTGGGCCCTCTGGACTCCGGCTCCACGGATACCAGGAAGCCATTGTTCATTGGCGGAGCTCCAGGTGAACTCAGCAACACATTTCTAATTCCTTCCTCTCATTTCCATCCGTACTCACGTCCTCTAATCATGCGACGCACTTGTCCCCCTGTCAGATCTTTTCCTCCCAGAGAGCATCACCACCAGGAGCCCCTACGTCGGCTGCATGAGGAACCTGACCATCAACAACAGCAGAGTGAGCTTCAGCAAAGCTGTTCTGGCCAGTGGGGCGGTCAGCGTCGGGACCTGTCCTGCAGCATGAAACTCCCTTCCACGCCATCGCCATCCCCAATACAGCACTGACCAAATACGTTAGCAAAGGCGCTTTCTGTCAAGCATAACCATTACGAGAAGTAGCACCACTATTTGTCCCAGTTTCTCTTCCACTGTAATCTTTTCATTTACTTTTTTACATTTTATTTAGTTTTTTTAAATGACAATGTCTCATGCCAAGAATACGTTGAAGTTATCCTAAATTTAAAAAAATAACCAGGAAAAATATTATATTTAGACTTTTTACATCATATAAAAGATGTTTTTTTCCACTGTCCCTTCTTTACTCACAATGACACTTTTTGTACAATCTCATGCTCAAAATGTTGTACCGTTTGATTTCTGCTGAATAAAAATATACTTTACATCCATATAAGGCGTTATCATTGGAAACATTACACCCAAAACGGGGGACGTTTTCACCTCCTTTATGTTTGTTTGAATCTTGTTTTATGTACAGTTCAGACTATTTGTTAAAAATACTACTACTAGATGAATAATCAATAGATTTATAATACATGCCCTTTACCAACTTTTCCGTCAGAGGTTAAGAATCCAAATAATCATACATTTTTAAGCTTCTTTCAATTACTTTTCTTTTAGTTTATCCACTGACAATGCCAGAAAATATGGGAACCAGCTCACTGGTGAGCTGTGTGCAAGTTATAATGTAAATAGAAATTACACTGAAATTTCTTGAGAAAAGGCTTTGCAGGGTAAAACTTAAAAGGGCCATTTTTCAAAAATACTAAGGAAACTTCTATAGTCTTATTTGTAAAACAATATTTGCAATGACAACCTTAGACCAAGCCAACCACGGAATAGCTCTGTTTGTATTCTTAAAATCTACTTCAAGGAGAGGTCACTCCAATTTCCAGGCATCAGAACTTTGTAGTTTTGGAGAGAATTTTAGGAACGTTGTTCAATGGGTTTACAAATGCAAATAACTCAATTATGTTAGGCGGTGCTTTGGTTTGATTTCCAATCAACAAAGGCATAAAACAAGGTTGCCCAATTTTAAATCTCTCTTAAGCAGAAATACTCTCTATTCATAAAAGAAAAAGTTGTTTGGACTCTAGATTTGTTTTCAAAAGACTCGTCTTTACAAGTGAATTGGACATGTATGAGTTATTAGTTACACCTGACTGTCATCTTGTGGCAGTACACGGTATCGCAACTAAATCAATATAATAGGTGTGCGCACCTTGTAGGTGTACAAAGGATGAAGTGGATGCTTTTTACTGTTTATTTCATTAGCGTTTATTCTATTCTAAATTGGTTTTAAATTATTATTTTTTCACCTTATGTTTGAATGGTTTTATGTGAAGCATTTTGAATTGCCTTGTTGTTCAATTCAATTAAATTCAATTCAATTCAATTCATTTTATTTTGTATAGTCCAAAATCGCAAATTAAAAATTTGCCTCAGAGGGCTTTACAGTCTGTACACATACGCACAGGAAAAACTCCCCAAAAACTTAAGAAAAACACTTCCAAGAGGGAAAATAACCTTAGGGAGAACGTCAGAGGAGGGATCCCACTCCCGGGATGGACAGACTACAATGGATGCCATGTGTACAGAATGTATAATACATGCAATTCCTATGACATAAATGATTCAAGTAATTGTGAGTAGTTAGCCAGGCGCACGGCAGGACCACTGCAGGGGCAACCACCATCAGATAGAACCACCATCCACAGTTGTTGTTGAAATGTGCTGTACAAATACACTTGCCTTGTCCTAAAATTCAGATATTAAAACCCTATCTTCAATATAACAACAGTTTTTGGTATTGTTTCTCAGGGGGAGTTCTTTGAAAGATCGGTGGAATGGATTTCTCCCCTACATTCTGACTTTTTCATTCAAAGTTTACATGTAAAATTGTCCTCATTCCATTATGTATTGAGCACTATATTACACTATATAACACAATTTCACAGCGCACCAATGTCATATTGCTGGTTAATTAACTATTCAGAAATAGGTATCCATTCTTCAATGTGAGTCATCCTATGACTGTAGCAACATATGAATTTCCCCAAGTAAGGTTTAGCATTGTTACAATTCTACTTTACATTGTGTGCTGGTTTCAAAAGAGCCTGCTCCTAATGTTGTATAACTTAGATGCATACTTAGAATCCTGTGGAGGAGATGGTCTCAATTCATTTGTAATAATACATATTCATTGTGTAAAAATGCATGAGCTAAAGAGATGAGAGATATGATTAATGCATATGAACTGTAAACTGCAGCCTACCCGGTAAGACGTCATCAGTCCTCGACCATACACAGTGGAGGCGCGAGACAAGACGCGTTCAAATGTCCTCACCTAATGTTATTGACACATGTTTGAAGTGTGCCTTAACCCGTCGTTACGAGGGGGCCGTGTGTTGCCACTGCCATGACGCAGTCAGTTGTTGTACAAGGTGAGTTAAAACCTGACTGCAGCACACCGGACGGACGTAACGTTAACTGACCTGGGCATCCAGGGGCGAGCTAACGGTTAGCTTAGCCGTCGCTGTCTCGTAGCCAACGTCACTGTAGCCCCGATATTAGCTGAACGCTCATAACTTCGCAAAACGTTCTTAGCTTGCTGAGTTGGTTTACCGGACGGAAACATTTCCCCTTACATGTGGTAACTTAACTGCGGTTTAAATTCATGTTCTTCAGTTGGCCAGTGTGGCAACCAAGTTGGCTGCAGGTTTTGGGACCTCGCTTTACGAGAACACGCCCATGTCAATAAGGTAAGTAAAACACTCGTACAATACGGTAAGGGCACTCGTCATACAAGCTAAGTTAAGTAACCATATATAACAAATATATCCAGAACAGAAATGTTGACATGTCATTAAACAATGATGAAGGATTCTTTTATATAATAGAGCAGTAATAAATTCACGCAGTTGCCAAAACCTGTGCTTTTCTCGTGTATCATAAAAAATACTGTCACCCGTCGTGATGCATCACAATATTAATTTTATTTTTTATTGTATGGATTAAGACTACGAAGTTTGTAATTACCAATTAACATTATTTAACTTGATTATTCATCATTCGAAATTTTAACGTGGTCATTGGGATTTTAGAATAAGGGATCTGAAATATCTGTTGCGGTTGAATGGATATGTATTGTGTGGATCTTAGTCAGTTACTAACTTACTTTATTGTCAATAATGATTGACAATAAATTATTCAATCCAGCGATTTTTATGACTGATGAATTGTCTGTTATCAAAGACAAATGTTGAATACATAGAATAGAAGTACTTATTAGGAGATTAGTACATTTGTGTAAAAGAAAAATGTAATACATTTGTCTTTTGAACTGTGAAAAAATGCCGTTTGAAGATTTCTCCTTGGCTGCTGAGAAATTGCCAGTGATGCCAGTTTTCTGAAGTTGTATAACATTATATCAACAATTAATTGATTCATCAATCGATAAATTGTTTTTTTTCTAGATTTGTGACTATTGAAAGCACTTTTGTCTAAGTTTGCAAGTATTAATGTACGTATTACTGTGCACCTTTTGTATTTTAATATAAACATTGCGCTAGAAGCTTTCATTCCAACAAACCACCCTTTTGAACTCCTAGCACACACCAGTCACCAATACCAGACCATGCATCAACACGTATACTCGGTTATATGTTTTTTATACGGACAAAAGATAAGTAATAAGTGAAGTGAAAAACAAACTAACCTGTTGTTCCCTAAATTCATCTAACAGACTTTTTGACCTAACATCTTACACCCCCCCCCCCCCCCCCCTTTTCAGAAAGGAATGTATGACGAGGCCCTCCGTAGCTTTTTTCGAAACGTGGACTCGAGGTAATCACACCTGCTTTCACCCACCAAGGGCTACATGACTTGGGACATTAGCCTCCGTGCAGCGGTCCAAATGTTACACTTTTATATTAGGTTTCCTTTTTCCAGAGAAAGCGATGGAGGAGCATGTGCTGTGGGTGGTAGGATCCAGCATCTGAAGGCCAGAGTGAGTTTTTGCACATTACAAGAAATAACTTCCATAGGCCTTCACAGGGATAACGGCTTATTTTAGAGTCGAGGATCAAGGTCAGGGCTGCATTCTTTGTTTCAGGGCTTTAGGCTTAAGTTTAGAATGATTATAGATTGTGTAGCGCGTAATGGCTACACAATCTGTGCTGGCCTCACACTCGCATATTTGAATCCACAGGCGGTGCTGGTGGACATGGAAGAGGGAGTGGTCAACGAGATCCTGCAGGGCCCATTGAGAGAGATGTTCGACAGCACTCAGCTCCTCACGGACGTGTCAGGTTCAGGCAACAACTGGTGCGAGACAGACGAGCAGCGGGGCATCTCACGTGGCTGGCGCCAACTGTTGCCAGCCATCATTTTACCTTGTTTCAGAATTATTTAACCACAGAGAGGGGTAATGCTGTCCATTTCAGGGCTTGAGTCAATGTAACTGGATTGCCAGTTATTTTCCTAAAGTACTGATTATGAATTGGAATTTAAAGCTTGAAAAGAATCCAGATGGGTTTAGTAGTCCAAGTGGGTGTAGTTTTTCCCTCTTTTTCAAGCCTACATAGCATAAAGTGGAGGAAAGGTCAGCCATGCTTCTTGACAGGGTAAATACTCACTTTGTGGGTTTTTAGCCTGACAGAAATTGTTTAAAGATTGAAAACCTCAAACGGCTTGTTTATCGGTTCAAACTACAAAAGTGGATTTTGCCGCATATTAAAATGATTACAGAGTGACGTGTGGTGGCTGAGTTATGTTAGAGCCATGATTATTAAAGCCTATCTGCTTCCCCCTTCAAAGAAGACCTGGTCCAGCCTTCATTCTGTTCCAATTCACATGCATGGAAAACAATTTCCAACAATACAATAATTCGTTGGTAATCCGTTGTTTTTTTGTTGCTATTTTAAATTAAACCTTCATAATGAAACCACTTAAATCTCTGCAAGTCTTTGGAAAATCCTGTTAATTATATTATTTTTAAAAATGTTTTTAGTCTCCACTTTGACGTTCTAATACCACATGTATTATTATCAACTATGGTTTCCACTGCTTGTGAAGTCTGCCAAACCGAAAACTATTTTTCAGTGTCAACCCGAATGTGATCGGCCGTTCTGGAACCCAGTTCATTAAAACACGATATTTGGTTTTAACAGAAATTTGCCCTTTCTTGCTTCATAAAACCAAAACGTTGTTTACGACTTTATTAAAAGTTTATTCTTCTTTGGTTTCTCCAGGGCAGTCGGACACATGACATATGGCTCAGCCTACAGGGAGCAAATCGTGGACAAGCTGAGGAAGGCAGCGGAACACTGCGACTGTCTGCAGTGCTTCTTTATTATTCACTCCATGGGGGGAGGTAAGACAGGGACAGGGAGCACTGCTGCTGACACATCTGGATCAGTGGAGACCCTCTCCTTTTGCTTTAACCCATATCCCTGTAATCCCAACAAGCCTTTATTTAGTAATGCGTGATCTTTGAATGTTAAAGATTCCAGTTCCAGATTTTTAAATTCTAGTATTTTCTTTATGTCAAAAAATTTCAGACCATCACATCACCTTTTTTGCAAATACCTCGGTGTTTGTATACATACTCAAGAAATGGACTGTCTTCAGGGGAACATTTGAGCTTGGAAAACCCAGGCTTCCACAATGTTCCACGCTAATGAAAGAAACCAGGTTTTTGGAAAAAAAGGAAGTGAATGTACCTATTGTGAATTTAAGGTACTGGCTCCGGCCTGGGGACCAAGGTCCTGAGCCTGCTTGAGGAGGAGTTTCCTGAGGTGTGTCGCATCGTCTCCTCCATCTATCCGTCAGCGGAGGACGACGTTGTCACATCGCCCTACAACAGCGTTCTAGCCATGAGGGAGCTCACCGAGCACGCCGACTGTGTCCTGCCGGTGGAAAACCAAGTTTGTTTTCATTCGCCTTCTCTTTCCGCAAGAGTTTCTGCAGTGTGTTTGGACGGCAAATGTACGAGCGTCTGTTCTCCCCCTCCAGTCGTTGGTGGACATTGTGAACAAGATCAAACAGATGTCTCATGCAGGGAGGCCAGGGTCAGTGATCAGGAGAGACAGCACGCTCATCTCTGGACAGGGCGGGCTCAGCGGGGCCGAGAAGCCCTTCGATGCCATGAATAATATTGTGGCTAACTTATTGCTCAATATTACCAGGTATAGTGTTTCCGTTTGCTCCAACAGAGACGAGCCCTGTCTGCATAGGGAAAGGGGGCTGTGTTTATTCTTCTAACGTCACATAGCAACTTTCTTTTTTTTTTTTTTTTCCAGAAGAACCCAACCTAAAGACTCAAACAGAAAGCATAATGCTTCTGTTTTAAAGTAATACAGTAAACATTCGGCTCAGATCAGAGGGCTATTTCACAAAACCAGGATAAGGGATTAAGCTGGGATATTAAAGTTTTCCTGGGTGAATTTAGCTTTGACTTGCACGGAAGCAGGTTGAATTAAACCCAGCCAAGTAACCATGGCTATTTATTCTTTGTAGATAGCTTGCCCTCGAGCAGGCTAACAGCCAGGCTACGATTGATCCTAGAGTCTCATGTGTTAAATCAGCTGCTGCTCTGATCCGAAAAACGCGTTTAACAGATATTCCATTCTTCTGAATGTGTTTTGATTTATTTTTATTAACATACATTATTTGTCAGTGTTGCTGTCACAAGTTTGATTTTAAACACCTACTATTGCAGTTGTTTAGATCAGTGGTCCCCAACCTTTTTTACCGTTTTCATGTCAAGACAATATTTAGAAACTGCCGTGCGCTGTGAGGAGTGAACAATTGTAAACGTGATGAGGGCGATATATAAAGTCTCATTCACCTGTGTTTTTTCCTGCAACATGGCATGCCCTTTTCTGAACCCCCCCTACCCCCAGTGCCAGACAAATGAGCCTTCTTCTTAACTGCTGATCTCAGTTTAAATAAAATATGTGAGCAGGCATCTTGTAAGTAATTTCTACATACCATTTGCAAACTGTTAAGGCACTGACCAGCTTCAGTCTTGTTTGTTCTGTATAAACATCAATTGTAGAAAGATAAGAATTAGCACATAAATATACAGATACAGCTGCCTTTTTTCCTTTTTTTTTGCATATTATATGCTTCATCTCCTCAGAAATTTTGATAATTAGTTGCTAATCAGATACCGTGGGCTATTTAAGAAACCCGTGGACAGCTATGTACACCTGGATTGACTTAGCTCCTCCTTCTCATCCTGGCTCGCAAAACGTGCAACTGATTAAGCCGCGATGAGTCAAGCTGCGCTTTTTCAGTTACTCTGGATTTCTGTTTTTGTGCAATAGCCCCCAAAAGTGTGTGAAAACCTCAACACGTGATTCACATTTTTTGAGCACATTAATCCATTCTCTGGACCGTTTGTGACCTATATGGAAGCATCGGTCTTTGTTCTGTTTCCTTGTGTGTTTCATTTCTTTTTCCCTTTAATCTGGCATGCACCTGAAGTTTTTTTGTTCAAAGTAATACCGTACATTACTAGTTATTAGGTCTTTTTAAATATTGCTTATGCGTTGCCTCAAGTTTCCTTTTTGTTTCAGCTCGGCCCGTTTCGACGGCTCTCTCAACATGGACCTGAACGAGATCGCCATGAACCTGGTCCCCTTCCCTCGTCTGCACTACCTGGTTCCCAGCCTCACTCCTCTCTACACGCTGGCCGACGTCAGCGTCCCCACCAGAAGGTCTGCTCTCTGGCTGTTTGTTAGCTCGTTCTACACGTTTGCTGTATTGATTAATAAGAAAAGAAGCCCCTTCCCTCCTCCGATCAGTACTGTGTAGAATGCTATTCGAGACATAATGAAACCGTGTTGGTAATGTCGTGCTAGGACTTAGAGGGAAATACGTTTATGTTGTTATTCCTTCGGTCCGACAGTCCAAAAATACCAATAAACATAAACGACTCCCCCATATCTTAAAAACAGAGTGCTGAACTCAATTTTGGGGTTGTCATCAAGTATGAAGTGTGAAATCTCTCCCAAATGAAATAAGAAAGATGTTGCCAATGCCACTGAGACACAGAATAGACCAAAACTTTTTTTAGTCTAATGTTGTTTTTTTAAAGAAGAACTAAACCAGTCAGACGTTATTTTCAGTTTGCAGCGATAACTTGCTGGTGCCAAATTATATCAATGCAAATATAACAGCTTATCAAACAGATGTTCGATGAACTTTTTAATCATTTAAATGTGCACACCCATTTTTAAGACCCAAAGATGATGAATATAATGGGTGGACCAGTATTCTTGTGCTTTTCCCTCTGTATTGAGTGAGATGGTGGCAACTCCCAAGTTTAGAACTCCCACATAACTCCCTATGAAAGTGGCCTTGTGTGAGCCGTGAACACCTAATCTCACAAGTTTCTCACTTGACTAAAAGAGCGGAGGTGGTGCTGGGCAAACTACCAGAGGGGGAATGTGTGTATGAATACAGAGCATGGTGTTGCTTAAAAATATCTCGCAAACTCCGCAGAAGTAGTTTGGACAAATAAAGATAAAGGTACAAATATTCAAATATTGCCCCCTTGCCTGACCCCCGTGTTTAACCCGGGTGTTCCTGAAAGCCCTCTGCCTTTCACCCACTGTAACCAGTAAAGAGAGACCAGTGTTTCTGTTCTCCCTGTGTTTGCCTTTGGGGGTGTCGCCTAATGAGAAGCACTGGCCTGTCATGATATTTTATGAAAGTGTAATATCTGTAAATATTTTGTTTTGTCAATTCATTTTCTGTCTCTAGACTGGACCAGATGTTCAGCGACTCCTTCAGTAAAGACCACCAACTGATCCGTGCTGACCCCAAGCGCGGCCTCTACCTGGCCTGCGCCCTCATGGTCAGGGGCAACGTGCATGTGTCTGACCTCCGCAGGAACATCGAGAGGTCAGAGCCGTTCTCCAATCCCCCCACCCTTCAACGGTCTCCTCCTGCTCCGACGGGCCCTAAATAGTGCCCCCATTCAGCACCAACAGCGGTGATTCATGACTGGTCCATTCAGCAGCCCGCCCTCTCCTCAGCTCTCCCCCTGCAAGCTTGTTTTTCATGTGGCAGGTTACTAAGAGAATTTGAGCATAACCATGGTTTAAGGTGGGTGGGGGTCGGGTGGTTTGTACGAGAAGCACACAAATATACCTCACCAAGGGCTTTAAGCGAACACAGCACACTCACAGTACCAGTCAAAAGTGTGTCCAGACGTCACGGTGTTCTGACATTTAATTAACCTAATTATCGACTGTTTTGTTTTTCTTGTCAAATGAATACTTCTCTTTAAGACCATAATCGCTGAAACTCTGGGTTTATTGTGAGACCATTAACCCCTTCCTCTGGCTATATCATTCTTCATCTTTATTAGACCAACCTAGTTTTAAGTGTCACTAAAACCTCTGGATAATGTCCCATCCCTGAATTATAGAATGTCCTTAGGTGCTCTTGTTGTGTTTGACGCATCATTCTCTTCGCTGCTCTAGGATGAAGCCCTCGCTGCCCTTTGTCTCGTGGAACCAGGAAGGCTGGAAGACGGGCCTGTGTTCGGTGCCTCCTGTTGGTCACTCCCACTCCCTGCTAGCCCTGGCCAACAACACCTGTGTGATGTCCACGTTCATGGAGCTGAGGGAACGCTTCACCAAGCTCTACAGAAAGAAGGTGCGGAGTTACTGTATGCTTTTTCTTAGACTAATATACGAGTCAACCAAGGCTTGTATCATATTTTGGGGTTAAATGTGTGGATCACTTGTGTTTTTCTTCATTAGTTATCAAGAGAATATCTTTTGTTTTCTTTGGACAATTGGTTCAACCTGCTGACGCAGCCTGACAAGCTTTCTGACAAGCTTTCTGGTGGTTGACATTTATTTTGGAAGGGAGTCAAAGGGTACCTTCCTACAGCGCCTGGTTCCTGGTCAAATTCCTTGTGAAGGGGTCTTTTATTGGCCAACACAAACCTCTCTATTAAAGCGTCTCTTAAACCAAGAAGCTTGTTGGTCAGATCTCCCTGCTCCTCTGAGGGACAATCTGTCCCTTTTCAGTTGAATGGAGTCGTTTGACTTCTGTCTGGAGGCTACTTACGGCTGGCGGTGTTGATGATCTCTGTATTCTTTATGATTTCCTATTTTCTAGTTAGTAATAAATACTTCATCACAAACACATTTAAGATACTTTTGATTTCTCACAAGGGCTTTATCCACAAATTTCCACCACAATATATTTATTATTTATAATACCATAACCTGCACACCCTCTGTGTCTTATCAAGGCTCACCTCCACCACTACCTGCATGTAGAAGGGATGGAGCAGAGCATGTTCTCAGAGGCCGTGGGCTCGCTCAGCTCGCTGATTGAAGAGTACTACCTTCTGGATGCAACGAAGGGGAGACTCGTGCCTGACGCACCCAGACTGCGCATCGCCAGATGAAAGGCCGCTCTGTTGTAAACCTCTTTGTCCGACTCCTTTTGTGGCAGATTAGATTACATTTTTTGACATGATTTATGACCTGATCATAACAACATCTGCTGTTACAGCTACACGCAATGGCCATATTTCCTTGTTGATATTGCACCTAAATGTTCTGAAGAAAAGGTTCACAAAAGCTTTCATCATCACTAGATATCTCCATTTATTCATTGATCCCAGCTACTTTTTTTTTTTTTTTCTTTTTTACTTTTTGAGGCACATCGACGCTGCTGAGGAGAACCTAATGACCAGAGTGTGCACATGTTTCTGTCCTTAGTCTGCAGCAGCAGGGATCACCCCCTCCCGTGTCCTGATCAGATCCGCTACAGAAGTCGCAGGTCAGAAAACATGTCGCCTGGATCGTTGCACTTCCTCTGGCACACGCAGGACGTGATCCACTGCATCTTCCACTCGGTGTTGGAGCCCGCCTTGCACGTGAAGTTAACCTTGATCATGCTCGACTTATTGGGGACACAGCAGCGCTTGTCCGTACACACGCCGCAGTACATTGGCTTGAACTTTTTGGTGCTGGTGCAGCCTGAGAGTGTCAGCTTCTCCGCTTTCTTTGCTTGGAATTTAGGTCGGCAAGTCTTTCCCTTTTGCACCTGAGAGGGGGATGGAAACTGTCATGTTTGTGTATGTATTGGATATTATATATATATATTTGTATATATCAATGCTTTAATATAGAATTTGACAAAGTAGCCACCTTAACACTCCTCATCACGCTCTTCTCACACGGCCGCAGCAGACACAGACGTCTGTCCTTCCTCATCTCGCACTTGCCGTTGTCGTTGTTGACGCGCACAGAGATGCCCAGGCCGCAGGTTTTGGTGCATGGGCTCCAGGGGGTGCTCTGGATCAGACAGTTCTTCTTCCAGGCTAAAGGAGGATCCCTGTAAGCTTTCAGTATTACAGTTAAAGGGCACTGTGTCAACAGCAGCCCACGCAGAGAACTAGTCTGTGTGCCACCATGCTGCCGAGCACTGCAGAGGCCCCAAATACCTAATCCTCATTTTCCTCTTCTCAAATCAAAAATTCCTTTTGCTCTACCTTCATGAGTTAGAAGAATCATCCAGAAAAGCACATTCAGTATGTGTATGTGTGTCAGTGATCATCCTAACAATGTGCTCTATATCTCCACAATGAGAAAATAAATTTCTGTTTCAAAAAGACATATCATTTTGTGTGTGTGTGTGTGTGTACATCAAGGCTTTCATGCAAAGCAACTACAGTAGTGCATTTGTACAAGTGGAATGTACGTCACTTTTAATGAAAAAAGCTCCTATAACTGGAAACATCTATCTCTCACTCCTTACCCCGCCACAGTAATGAAATGCCCCCTCTCCCCCAAACAGCAGACAGCAATAAGCGTTCCAGGCCAGACCCTTCATGAACACACACCTGACATGTAGGTTGTGTCCTGCCGGTGTTTTTTTGGGCTCAGGCTGCTGCGAAGGCCGGCTGGCAAGTTGCCCATCAGCGGGGCGGGGCTCAAGAGACTAACAGGCTTCTGGATGAAAGCGGGGGTGCAGCCGATTGCTCCAGCAATACATGTGCACTTGTAGAGGGGGCTGGGCTGGAAGCCCTCTCCATTCTCATAGTGGGCACCATTTAGATCACAGCCCACTGCCATCAAGTCTGAAAGAATCAGGGCCAACGTGTTACAGCTCCAGGACTTACTCATGCAGGCACGATCTCTGTGTTTATCTGACTTAAGTGATATACATTCCTCACACAACATTTTATTCAGTGTGTCACTGTGAGGATCCATGCCATCATCAGACTACAATGTTTATCAACCCTTATTTCTTTACAATACAGGTTAAATAAAATTGATGGTTTTGCAATGTGTATACATTGATAGGAGGTATTCATGAATTGCGAGTAAAACGTAGGCACTTTGATTACAAAGTCTATCTGTTCCATCAGATGCTTGCGAAATTGTTTATTAAAAACAATTTGGCCATACCCAAAGAGGGCGTAGTCACGGTGACGTCACTCGTTGGTTTGTAGACCCAGGTTTGGCATTTTGACCCTCACTATCTTAGTTTTTTGGAACCAGTAGTCTCGTATTATTAGCGCAGCAGGGCCAGGTACCAAGCAAGCTAGTTTGGGAGGGAACCACGGTAGTTCACGTTAACTATACTTTATAACAAAAAACAGACCTACTGTAAGCGTCCACACCCACCACCCGTTTTATATATCTTGAAATGTTAAAAAGATGGATATGGTTGTTGTATAAAGACTCACTACAGTTGTCAGGAACAGGGATATTAACTGTGGTGACTGGGTGTAACCATGTTTACTCCTGCTGTAAAGGTGCTCACTTCAACATTGGAGTCTATGGGAGCTGCTCACTGATTCACTGAGATCTTAGGCTGAAATCATCAAAAACTTGTGTACTAGAGGTCTAAAACCATTTACATGTTATTGTACAAAGAATTTGGACAAATTTAACCTATCCCACGTGACCAATTCAGAAAAGCCGAGAGCCACTCACATGCACACACTCCGACCTCGTATCTCGGCTTGTCGGCTGAGAAGTCGCAGTACATGCTCTTGTGCGGGTCGCAGACATCCCTCTCGTTGCACGGGTCTCCGATCTGCCTCGCGCAGCTCTTGCAGCAGCCGCATCCGTCCAGGACTGAGCTCACCCCCGGGGCGCAGTGGGGGCGCTGCCGACACTTGCAGGGCCACTGGCAGAACTGCCGCCTCTCGGCCGCGGCGCCCCTGTCTCGTGGAGCCAGCTGCCCATTATTCTGAGCCCAGCTGAAGCACTGGGTGAGAAGGGGGGAGGGCAGAGGTGCATTAACTGTTGTGCACAACTTTTATTTTTACTGGAGCTGTTCTTGTTATGTTTATTCATGACACAACCCCTGTTCCTACAGTTTTCAGTAATGCACTTCAATGCCATCTTTTAGAATTTAGACTTGCAGGCGTAGCAAGGTGTTGAGTGATCAAAAACACCTTTTGCATTCATCATGGCGCCAGGCGCCATGCTCTTACTTTTACTGCTCCCATTGGCCACACTACTTGTTAGTCTTGTAGAAAAGTAGTTCAGTATGTATCAGCAGCTCGCTGACAACTATTACTGTTAATAATCCCATTGCACCCAAAATACATCAAAGAGCTGCTCTTTTGCATGGGATGTGCTTTTTATTAGCAGGAACACACACTAGTTTACCTAGACTCATTGCCTCATGCACCGTCCGGCTGCCCCAAATACTCACTAGAATACCCAATTCCTATTTATTTATTTTCCTGCCTATTTAATTTTGTTTGAACTAAAACAGATTAACTGAGCCATTTTAAAGGGGTTAGGGTGGAGATGTTGTGCCTCGCCTGTAGGAGGCCCACGGTGGCCCAAAAAAAGAAGAACGAGCCAAGCCGACATCAGTACTTGACATACGTTGTGTTGGAATCACGCCCCCACAGCAGCTCAGGTTACGAGCAGTAAGTGCAGCAAAAAGGCAGAGTGAGGGGGAGATGGAGGGAGATAGGGAGAGAGAAAAGACACTGTGCCACACAGAAACATTTGTTTGAAAAACGTTCTGTTGACGTTTTTGCACTGTTCATTTCAATATTTGAAATAAACGTACCAACAAAATTTTATAATGTTAAGTGTAAAATTAATTGATATGATTATTTGATTAAGAAAAGCGCATTTTCTTCTATTCAGTTTATATTGTATAATGCCATTAATTCAAAACAAAGAAGGAACAACCCGTTTTTTTCCCCTTTTTTGGGTCTAGCGAGGGTGAGGGTGAGGTTGTGGTTGGGGGGGGGGCCTTATATCCTCAAAGGGGGCCCTCACAGAAACAATTTTGGAACCCCTGGCTTAGAGTGAGCCGTTTTATACCTACATACGGAGCGGATTCTTTTCACAGAGCTGCCCACCGAGTTTCTACTGTAGCCCAGAACATGCATGCCATACACCGCCTCTAAAAGGGGCTCGGTCGAGTTTTGCTTCAGTCCCTCCATGTCACACCAGAGAAGCTTCAGTTAGTTGCCGTCTGCAAACACGCCACTACATGACGCCAAATCCTACACACTTTGCCCAATCTGGTAGAATCTCAATTTCTTCCTTTTTACTTCTACCTAAAAAAAAACCCCACTTTTTTTGCTTGTGTTTTGCACATCTTACCCGTCATGGTCCCACAGCCATGTTTTAAACCGTCAGCCTGAATGCATATTAAGTTTAAATTCTACAGATAGCTTGGATTGTTGATAGCCCAAGACCTTATGCGTTGTCCAGCCTTCAGCCCTATAAAAGTTTTCTTGGTATTTGCTATGATGCAATCTTTGCGGTACCACTGGTGCTCCAATTCTGCTAACTGCTGCTCAAGGGTCACTGACTGCTATGCCAAAAATCTGAAGCCTGTCTGTCAGGTTTACTGAATGAGCTCATTTCATGGTGTGAAAACGGCTTCACAGGAGCTTTAATTCCAAAGAACTCCGACTTTGCTCTCTGAATGCATGATCTACTTTGGGCCCAATTTGTTCAATTTAGAAAATATAGGCTATTCAAATCAATATATTCCAAGAGTTCACTATAAAAGGTAAATTCAGATGGTGCCCACCTACTGAGAAAAACCAAAGCATCTGCTTTTCTTGCTCCTGTCTGTTGTCCCATCACAAAATCCCCAGTCTGTCTAAAAAAAAAAAAAAAAGAAAAATAATGCCTTTCTTACCTGTTGAGCGAGGATGAGCAGGAGGGAACGGCAGAGAAGCGATAGCATCTCCTAAGTAAGAAGGTCTATGTGAGCTCCAGGAGGGCCCAGGGGGACAAGGGCAGCTGGAAGGTGGGATTAAGGGGTGAAGGACTGTTGGTGGGAGAGAGGAATAGGTGGATTTTGGTGGGTAGTGATCGGGAGCTGTGACCTGTCGGAGAAGGGGACAAAGCAGCCCTCTGTCTCCTCACCTTTTCCTCCGCCTTGCTGATCCAGAGGGGAAATATTTGTCTCCATAACTGCCAGGCCGCTTCGCTACCTTCAAGTCCGGCCCACTTAGGTTTATTCTGAGCCCGCCGAACCTCACGCTCATTCACCTGGGTGCTCACTAACGGTTAAATCTGTGGAGATGGGTGGGACAGGGCGCCACTCGGGGAAGAACACACAGTCTGGTTTGTTCTTTAATTCAGAAAAAAAGAGGTCGAGTTCGGATGTGTAAGTGCATTCAGTAGGCCTATGTGTTGTTTGTTTAATGTGGTCCCACTTAATGCACACAGACGTGTATTTGAGTTCACATTCCGTTATTATTTACACTGAGTAAAGAGGTCCCTCTAAGAGCTGCGCTCAGCCAACGCCCGTTTGGGAGATCACATGGACGCACCAGAATAAAAACTGCTTATTTCTAGGTTTTTATTACAGCTAATAGATGCTATTACACTACCAACACCAGCCCAGGGCATACTGATATTTATGAGAATATAGCAACGCGTCGGGGTGTAGTGCGACACTCAGCACACGCAGGCGAATGGACGTTCTGGTAGCAATCCTTTATTTAGTTCTCCAGCAGCAGAAATACATACACCCCACGCTATCGGTACACTCTCTCGAACTTGCAGGCGGCGATAACAACAACCGAGAACTCTCGCTAGCAAACTTGACTAGCCCCCCAAAACAACGGGAACACCCGCCTCCCACCGTCTCCCCCAATCACTGGCCAGCCCCTGTCTAGCATGAACCGCAACTCCCCCTGATTGGCCAGCGTGAGGGGACTGACGTGAAACTGACAGAATACACTGCCGAACAGGGTCGCTACAATATGTATATATGTTATGTATGCATGTGTATATGTTATGAATGCATGTATATATGTTATGTATGTATGTGTGTATATATATAACAGCATTCAGTGCCTCCCCGGTTAGAAAAGGGGCTAACAGCCCAACCCACTGGTCCCTGGGCCAGGCTTCCCTAGTGGCCAGGGCTTCAAAGGCATGCAGGAACGCCTCGACGTCATCCGTGGCACCCATCTTGGATAAATAGTTACTGGCATTCATTGGGCGTACATTCTGGTCGGCAATCTGTTTCTGCAGTTGTAATTCCTCCGCCTTCAGAAAGATTGCTTTCTTTTGGTCTTCCAAGAGAGCCAAATTTGTTTGCATCTGGGCTTGCTGGCCAGCAATAAGGGTTTTCAAGATTTCTTCCATTTTGTTCGGTGAGGAGCCTACGGTCAATCTAAAAAAAAAAGTGGCGTGAAAAAGTTCAGTGTCCTCCTCTGACATGCACTAAATCTGCTTGAACAAGACCCGCATCCTCCACCATATGTGATGTCACGAGAGGCGCCGCTCTCCCCGGGGTAGTTCAAATAGTGCGAGGACACCGGGTTCAAAATGTAAAAAAGGTTTTAATTTACGTCCTTCAGATTAAACAGAAAACAGTCAAAACAGGGGGTAACTCAGGCTTCGGTCGATCTTAGCCGGTAAAACGTAACTAATGTCTTGTCTTTGGAGGGGAAACGGAAATCCACTTCTTTAAGGAGAAAACACCGTCCTCTCGGTCTCTCCTGCCCCCCGGGAATCCTTCTGTCTTGGTCTAATCTTCTGCAGCGGGCCCAATCTGCAGCTCGTCTCTCCTCCCTCAACGGTGTGTCTTCCTTATGAAGGCCTCCCGGTCGTCATACCCTTATGGGTTTTAGGTGTGAGGGGAATGCTCTGAGTTTCGGGGCGGAGTTCTTCACTCCACCAGCAGATGGAGCCATAGTAGTTACAGCCATCTCCGGTGAACGTATCTCCCTTCCAAGACCCAGCCTCTCGTGACATCACAATGGATATATATATATATATATACATACATATTGTGGTGAACCAGGGGGAGGAACCAAGGACAGGAAGCGGATCTCCAAGCTCCGATTGGGCGAGGTGATAAAGGGGATCTATTATCCTGTGCACGTGCTGCAGCCACTGGGAACGTGGCATTGGTCACACCTGCGAGCGATCACTTAATTAGAGGTGGAGGATACATGTAGGGAAGGAGACCGACTGGAGAGAAGAACAGAAGAGACCCAGTAGCAGAGACGAGGTAACGACAGGACTCACCGCTCTTCTCTGCTCTACGTCTCACAGGACAAGCAGCCGTGGAATAGACCGGAGTCACTACCCAAACCCACCAGGCCCAGAGCCTTCGAGCGCTACAAGATGCAATAACTGATCTGGGACAGCATCTGGTAAAGCCAGAGAGGCCAGCCAGAAGTGCTCACCAAGAAGACTGGTGAGGATGACATTGACGCCTACCTAGAGGTTTTTGAGAGTACTGCAGAGGGAACGTTGGCCTAAAGCGGAGTGGGCAGGTATCCTAGCCCCTTTTTTAATTGGCGAAGCTCAAAGGGCCTGCCGAGACCTCTCCCCCACTGAAGTAATTAAATATGGGGCCTTGAAAGCGGCTATTTTAGCTCATTATGGCCACAACCTGCAGACGAGAGCCCAACAGTTCCACTCATGGACTTATGATGCTACTGCCCCAGTGAGACCGCAAATCGCAAACCTTATGCGATTGACGCGCAGTTGGTTAACCTCAGGGGAGGGACCTCCAGCTCTGGACAGAGTTGCCATGGACCAGTGTATCAGAGCTACCAGGAGATGCCAAACGACATGCCTCTCATAGCTGCCCAAAGAACGTAGATGAGCTGGTGACGCTGTTGGAGAATCACCAAGTCATAATGCAGAGCAGTAGGCAAGAGCCCTTACGACCCAGCCAATCTGACCCCCGGAGAGATAGACCGAAGCTGAGGAAGAGTAATATGGAGACACTGCCCCTAAGTCAGAGGCCCCAAGGGGGGTAACCCAGACCGCCCCTCCAGCGTCGACCCCTGGTGAATCCGGACCGACGGAAATGCTTTTCCTGTGGCCAAGAGGGCCACCTAGCGTGGAATTGCCCGGGGGAGGACGCACTGATGCCTACGGCGGGCTCCTCAGATTCACCACAGAAGGGAGACAGCTATGTTACCATGTGCTGGGCCCATGAGGGCACAAGGGCTCCAAAGCTGCCGGTCAGAATAGCGACCCTGGACGCAGAAGCCCTATTGGACTCCGGCAGTGCGGTCACCCTTCTACGGCCAGGAATGACCACTGGTCCCAGGGAACCCCCTATACCAGTCTCCTGTGTCCATGGGGACTCCTGTGAGTATCCCACAACCCACATAAAGGTCCAGACCACTAGAGGCACTTTTGAGGTTGTGGCGGGTTTGGTAGAAAATCTGCCAGTGCCAGTACTGATTGGACGGGACTGCCCGATATTCTGGCGTTTGGGGGCTTACAGGACAGCTGGCTACCGGAGAAACAGTCCAACCAAGAAACCTTGTAGGAACCGGAAAGTCAAGGTAGTACATGCCTGTCCGCCCCATCTAGCCCACCCACATCAGCTGGAGAGGAGACAGACGGGGAGGCCCTGGCCCCAGAGGAGGCCCTGGCGAGGGGGGCTCCGCGACAGAATGAGGAGTTGTCAAGCGAGGTTTTTTCGGAGTTCCAACTGGCGGAAGAGGAAACTGCCACCAGGCCCGGACAGTTTGGGACCGCCCAGTTGGAGGACCCTAACCTCGAACAAGCCCGAAGGAACCTGGCTGTGGTCGAGGGGGAACCGTTGGAAGGGGTGAGTGTTGATACTTTTCCTAATTTTGCAATAAAGAATGGCCTCCTATATAGGGTGGCTAAACTGGCAGAACTTGGTGGTGGAACAGTTGCTAGTCCCCAAACGCTATATTCCAAAAAGGTTGTACGTGGCCCACTCACAAATGTTCCCTACCCTGCTGCTTGTATTGTATTATACATTGTTCATTCTGTACACATGGCATCCATTGTAGTCTTTCCATCCCGGGAGTGGGATCCCTCCTCTGACGTTCTCCCTAAGGTTTCTTCCCTTTTTTCCCTCTTGGAAGGGTTTTTTCATTTTTTGGGGAGTTTTTCCTGTGCCGATGGTGGGTTTCGGGACAGAGGATGTTGTATGTGTGCAGACTGTAAAGCCCTCTGAGGCAAATTTGTAATTTGCGATTATGGGCTATACAAAATAAAATGAATTGAATTGAAATTGAATTCAAGCCAATTGAACTCTTTTCCCTTGTCACAACTAAATTACCTAGCGGCAGCTTTCTTTTTTTTAAAATTCATTGTTAATTGTTCTGGTCAAGCATTTCTGAATATTACGCCTTGGAAATCAAGTTGTGTGCAACAGACATATTCAAAACACCCACACAGTAACTGTTACCACACACCAATTCACATTTTGCCAAAAAGAAACCCTACAGGCTGCGACGCGCTGCTCTGAGACAACGCTCATTTATTTCTCCTCCATAGACTCACGCAATGGCTTTGGATGGTGTTCCTCCTCAGGCAACTTTTAGGGAAATGTTAAAATTCTACCTCAAAACCAATCTTGCTGGGTTAGCTTTAATTCAATTCAAGTCATTTTATTTTGTATAGCCCAAGATCGCAAATTACAAATTTGCCTCAGAGGGCTTTACAGTCTGTACACATACAACATCCTCTGTCCCGAAACCCACCATCGGCACAGGAAAAACTCTCCCAAAAATGAAAAAACCCTTCCAAAGGGGAAAAAAGGGAAGAAACCTTAGGGAGAACGTCAGAGGAGGGATCCGTAATATGTACAGTAATATGATTAATATCTAAAATAATAATGATGATGATGATGATGGCAGCACTTTCGAAATATTGTCTGACACAAACCGGTCCGTGAGGTAAGAAGGTTTGGGGACCACTGGGCTGATCCACAACGTGTATGTGTTTACACACCTGGATCCTGATTGGTGTCGCTGCCGCAGCCGCAAGGCACTGATTGGATGGTCACAGACCGTAATACAGCGCAGATGAATATGATTCAGACTACGGCGTTTATATGTTCAACAATAGGAAACGTAGTCTTAGCTGTTTACGTGCATTTACCCTCCACTACAGCCCTGGTTACGTAGATGAAAATAGGCAGTCCTTGAAGTCTTCTTTATATGAGAGTTGAAGGTCATATCCTGGTCGAAGAGAACTCCCAGATTCCTGACTGTGCTGCTGGGTACCAGAGAAATTCCATCCATAAAAACTGTATCACGTGACAGCTGGCTTCGAAGGCGCTCTGGGCCTATCAAGATAACTTCTGTTTTTTCTGAGTTTAGCATCAGGAAGTTGCCGGTCATCCAAGTTTTGATGTCTCCAAGACATTCTTGAAGTCTAACTAGCTGGTCCGTCTCTTCTGGCTTGATTGACAGATACAGTTGAGTATCGTCTGCATAACAATGGAAGTTTATGCAGTGTTTCCTGATAAGATCGCCCAAAGGAAGCATATAGAGGGTAAATAAAATCGGTCCAAGTACAGAACCTTGTGGTACTCCGTGACCAACATTGGTGGTCTTTGAGGATTCACTGTTTACAAGCACAAACTGGGATTGATCCGATAAGTAGGATTTAAACCAGCTGAGTGCAGTTCCTTTGATACCAATTAAATGTTCTAGTCTCTGCAACAGGATACAATGGTCTAATGGTATCAAATGCGGCACTGAGGTCCAGCAAGACAAGAAAAGAGATGAGTCCTTAGTCCGATGCAAGTAGAAGATCATTCGTAATTTTCACCAGTGCTGTTTCTGTACTGTGATGCGCTCGAAATCCTGACTGGAAATCCTCGAACAAAGCATTGTTTTGTAGAAAGTCACATAATTGATTTGCGACGGATTTCTCAAGGATCTTAGAGAGGAAGGGAAGATTAGAGATAGGTCTGTAGTTAGCCAACACCTCTGGAGCAAGAGTAGGTTTCTTATGAAGAGGTTTAATTACAGCTACCTTGAAGGACTGTGGTACATGTCCTGTCAACAAAGACAGATTCATAATATCTAATAAGGATGTGCTAACTAAAGGAAAAACTTCCTTAAGCAGCTTGGTCGGAATCGGATCGGAAGTAGAAGATTTAGACTTTGAAAATAAAGAAGTCAGTTGATCAAGGTTGATGGAAGAGAAGGCATCCAAACAGGCATCAGTGCCTGCTGCTGCATCCAAGGTTCCTACATCAGAGGACAGGTCGGCACTGGTTGAAGGCAGGAGACCATCAATTTTCTCTTTGATAGTCAGAATCTCATCATTGAAGAAGTTCATGAAGTCGTTGCTAGTGAGGTCCAAAGGAATACACGGCTCAACAGAGCTGTGACTCTCTTGTCAGTCTGGCTACAGTGCTGAAGAGAAACCTGGAGTTGTTTTTTATTTTTCTCTTAATGATGAGTAATAAGATTCTCTTGCGTTACGGAGAGCCTTCTTATATGTTTTAAGGCTGTCTTGCCAAACTAGCCTAGATCCTGATTTGGTGGAACGCCATAATCGTTCAAGTTTCCTCACAGTTTGCTTTAGGTTCCGTGTTTTAGGGTTATACCACGGAGCAGACTTCCTTCTTGTTGCTATTCTTTTTTCCAGAGGAGCAATAGCGTCCAGCGCCACTCTCAAAGAGCCTGTAGCAGTATCGACAAAATTATCGATCTGGGACGGACTGAGGTTCTCACAGGAGTCTTCTTGTATCTTGAGGCAGGGCACTGAACTTAGAGCCGAAGGAATGGCTTCTTTAAATGAGGCTACAGCGGTATCCGATAAGCGTCGACTGTAGAAACCCTTGGCAGGAGGAGGTGGTTCCGATAGTAGAAATTCAAAGGTTATCAGACAATGGTCCGACCGGAGAGGGTTCTGTGGAAAAATTGTTAAATGTTCAATCCCAATCCCATACACAAGAACCAAGTCGAGAGTGTGGTTAAAACAGTGAGTTGGTTTATTTACACACTGACAGAAACCAATTGAATCTAACAATGAAATAAATGCAGTACTAAGGCTGTTGTTGTCGACATCCACATGAATGTTAAAGTCACCCACAATAATTACCTTGTCCGTTTTAAGGACCAAACTCGTTAAGAACTGTGAAAATTCAGAAAGAAATTCTGAATAAGGACCTGGGGCCCTGTACACTGTTACAAAGAGAACCGGCTGGATTATTTTCCAGGTCTGTTGCGAAAGACTGAAAACCAGGCTTTCAAATGAGTTATAATCCACCTTAGGTTTAAAGTTTATTAAAAGGCAGGAGTCATAAATAGCTGCCACTCCCCCCCCCTCGGCCTGTGTCTCGGGGAATATGAGTATTAACATGACTCGGAGGAGTCGCTTCATTTAAACAGAAATATTCCCCATTCAACAACCACGTTTCAGACAAAAAAAGACAAAATACATCAACATGGTGATCTGATATTAGTTCATTTACCAAAACAGCTTTAGATGACAGAGATCTGATATTCAAAAGACCCCCTTTAATTCTCCTATTTTGTTGCACTATTGCATTATTAGTTTTAACTTTAATTAAGTTATTTACTATAACTCCTCGGTTGTTTACCTTTAACTTAGATAACTGTGTCCGTGGGGCAGACAAGGTCTCTATAGGGTTCATTATGCTGAGTGACTGCTCAGATTGAAGCGCAGAGAAGTGTGTAAGACTGCGACTCTGCTCCCTGGTCTGAACTCTGGGTCATGGATTAAGTCCACTAAGAAACTGGGTCAGGTTCTTAGAAAGAAGTTCAGCTCCATCCAAAGTGGGATGGATGCCGTCCCTCCTAATCAGACCAGGCTCTCCCCAAAACGTCTTCCAGTGATCAACGAAGCCCCCATTATTTACTGGGCACCACCTCGACAACCAGCGGCGGAATGACGACATGCGGCTGTACATGTCGTCACTGGTCAAGTTTGGGATCCTTCAACGACTGCTCCATCAGCCAGGTTCAAATAGGGACGCGAAATAGCATCAAAGCTTAGCTTCCGTCTCCTGCCGGGTCCGATCTCGCGAGGGGTTCACAACGTGGGTGAACTTCAAACGCAAAGTATAGACCAGTGTTATGACTGAGGGGTCATATGTGTAGTGTTTGTGGGTTTCCTTTTGTGTCTTTTTGTTTTCCCTTTATTCAAAAAGGGGTGTGCCACAACCAGGCGCGGATTGGTGGACGGTCTCCTACCCGTCCTGTGATTGGCTTCAGCCGGCATATAATGGAAGCAAAGATGGCGTCCGAGGCAGAGCAGGCCAGAGCAGGGGAGAACAGCAGCAGCAGCACACAACCCTCGTCCTCCTCCTCTTCCAACCAGCCACTTGTATCATACCGTGCAGCCTAATAAGTATTCTGTTTTTCTTTTGAGTTGGTTTTCTCCTGTTTTAAAGTAGTTAGGTAGGTAAGACTGATGTCATTATTTTTCTCCTTTGTTTTGGTAGGTCAGCGTCTTATTTTTAGCTAGGATCGTTTTTTGGTTTGTTTGTTATATTGGGGATGGGCAACGGCGAAGCCGTGGTTTGTTTTTACCCAACATACCGGGTTTTACTCAACCTAGCTCTTTTTTTCAATAAATATCCCCTATATAAACTTAAAGTGTGTGTGGCTACTTGGGAGACGGGGAAGATTGGGGCCTATCCATGTTGCACCTTAGGCACCCCTAGACTGGGGCGTAACACCAGGTGTGTCCAAACTTTTTCAAAAAGGGCCAGATTTGATCATGCAAGGATGCGCAGAGGCCAATACTCGCCTCTGGTATTTTTAAACTAAAAGGGTTACATGCCAATAATTCAAAATATTCATTGTCACAATTATCTTTATTTTTCAGGTTGCAATATAGCCAAAAATAAGCCACTTTAGAAACACAATTCTGCCTTTTGTGGAGAGTCCAATAACTGACACACTATATGGAATACCTTAAACTTCCATGAAGCTGATGAATATCTTTACCTTGTGATTGTTTTAAATGAGTTAGTAAGGCTGTCTTAAAGGGGGAATTGCAAGTTTTATGATTTATTTAACAGTGCTATGGCGCGATAAAGATTATACATTATAAGACCAAAGCTGGAGGCTGTATGAAATTTCACCACGCGCGGGCCAGACTTTGGTGTAGACCATACATAACAAGTATAAAAAAACTAGATAAAACCTGTATGCCCTTGCATGGCAAATTGCTGTATTTGATTTGATTACATTATTTTTTAGTTTAAGTTGAGATTTACAATAATATTTTAACTGCTACTATGTAAAGGGTATACTGCTGTTAAAAAAATATGTCCTATATGTATTTTCATCACAGCCTATTTATATTCTATACATCTGAAAATATCATGCTCACTATTTACCTTTTTGTCCGCTTTGCACTGAATGGGAGATGTTGTTTTCTGTCGGCAACAAGTTGAATATAGTTGCGCGGTTTCTGTCAAACCGCGAAAGCCTTAAACAGGATTTCACGTGTTGACTACCACAACCCAAGAATGCCAAGCATCAGCCCTCTCAGATTACCCCAGGATCTCTGTTCCACATTTTGTGTATGGTTTTGATAACAATGTAAGCTTTGAGCCACGTAACAGCGGAAGGCTCATTTTTCCTTGTGGAAGAACCCCCCCCCCCGCCCACCAAGGTCAACCAATGGGAGGGTAGCTCATGCCAGCAAATAATGATAAATGGGAGCTGCCGATGAGAGCATAGTCATAATCCTTCACTGCTGTACTCATCTACTCCTTTTGTGTCCCCAGTTTAGAAACTCACCCCTCCCCCCACCACAACTTGGCATCCTGTGTCAAATGAATCACTGAATAGCGCCTGGAATGCACATGTCTTTCAGCCAGTGTTAATATCCCGCTGAGAACAATCGAACAAGTTTGTCAGTTGAAACGCAAACGCCAGGTGATGCCTTTCCCAAAAAACAGGTTTGGGAGTGCAAAGGTGCTTTTTTCCCACTAATTTGTCCCTTCAGTCAGCAGAACTTACACTGAGTGAGGCTTGAGGGATGTCCGCAAACTATTGACACACGGTCTTCATGTGTTTAATAAGAGGGATAAAAAAAAAAAAAATCTGACGTTATAAAACTTTTCAAGGGAGAGACATAGGGGGAGGCGGCTGCAGCTCCTCCCTCAGAGGGCAGACGCCTCCCTCCTGCTTTGGTTCACTCCCATGTGAGGTTAAGTCACTCAGAGAGACGCATTACGGAGAGCTGCAGGTCGCACCCAAACCGGAGCACACGCTCTCCACCTGTCACCAGCTCTCTGCTGACGTCCTCTCCGGTCGTTTATCTCTGCCTGTGCATCTTTGGCACCTCCATTTCAGAAACGCTGTGGACGTTGTGAATCCAAGCGGCTCTAGTCACAGGTTGTGAGTCTGAAAAATGAACTTTGATGGCATTCTCTGTCTCATAGGTGGCTTCGGGAAGTTCCAGAAGATCCTGTTTGTGTGGATCTGTCTGCCTCAGATCTTTCTGGCGTTCCACATGCTGGTCTCCGTCTTCACTGGGGCCGTCCCCCCGCACTTATGCCGCTCCTTAGGGGGCGATCTGACCCCTCCAGACTTCAACTTCAGCCACGTGGCCGCTGTTGGCGTCCGGCGTGATGGGTCCTGCACGCTCCCCTTGAACCGCAGCAGTGCTGCAGCTCTCGCTGATGGACACCCCGCTGGGAGCTGCCAGGGGGGCTGGGAGTACAGCACAGAGACCTTCCAAAGCACCACGGTCACTGAGGTGAGTGAAAAAAACAACCGGCATGCCTGGCAGGCCTCTTCGGGATTTTGTATTTCCTGACTTCTCACCTGATGTGTTTAACATGAGGACTCCATGCAGCTGAGGAATGTGGAAGGATCGGTTTTATTACAGCGGTCTCTGGTGATACCTGAGACCGCATTGAACCGAGGGAAGTTAGAGGGATGGGCTCCTGCAGAGCAGACACCTTCCGGCCTCCCCTGCCGTGTTTTGTAATCTGAAGGCAGCCCTGGGCACGGGGTTACATCACCAAAATGATGTGATTGGGCAAAACGGTATCACGTGCGGCCATCTGCAGTGACCTCAGTTGTGTAAGTCAGTAAGTGAGACGAATCTGCACTTGATTTTGAAGTTGGCCGGTCCTCTACTTTGGTGTACCGGGCTCAGCCATATTGTTCCCAGCTGTGGATGATATAAGGACCTGCAGCACTACATGCTCTCACTGCATCTCCAACCCAGCTGGTCTGAGGACTACCGCCTCAAGAACAACTGCTGTAGTGAACCTATAGCTGGTGCTCAATGTAGTCTATGGAAAATAAATGATTGATCCTCAGGGGGACATGAATAATTTCGAGTAACTTTAATACACAGAATATTACTTTCCTGTGCTTCTTGCAGTGGGACCTGGTCTGTGATAGCGCCAGCATGAACAACATGGGCTCCTCCGTGTACATGTTTGGTCTCCTGGTTGGAGCCGTCGTGTACGGAAGCTTAGCCGATAAGTAAGTCTGATCACCCCTGTCGATCCTTAGAGCACTGTCGAATGTATAGATGCAACTCCTGATTCATTTTCCCCACAAACTCCCCTCTGCATTACTTTAACTTCCCATTCATCATGTGCTGTTCTAGAATTATGCATTAGAAAACATTTTCAAGTATTGTCGACCTTGAACAATTGTGAAAATGTAAACCGATTGACTGTCTTGTTCCAGGTACGGTCGCAGGATCATTATTCTCATCAACCTGGCCGTCCAGGCTGTCTTTGGGGTTGGGGCCGCTTTCGCCCCTAATTTCTACGTCTACATTGCCCTTCGGTTTGTGGTTGGAACATCCATCTCTGGCGTCATCATGAATGCATTTGTCCTAGGTCAGCATCTCATTGAAAGCATTCTGGGGGTTTTGTCTCTGTGTCCTGTATTGGAATAACTTACCAAAAAATGATGGCCTGGCACATTGGCTTGATTTTGTTTACCATGTGTTTGAGATGCCGTGAGATGTCATTGCACCTTTAACGATAGCAACATGTCTCTCCAACGAGAATGTTGCGGGTACTCAAGATAATTCACCGACCTGACTGTCAACACTTTTCATTCAGTCTGTGTGACGGAAGCAGGCACAACAAAGAGCTGCTGGTACTTCAAATCTTTGGAAAAACAAACTAAACCTAAACTAGCATAGATAAAAGTCGATAAGAATAATAAGCTCCTTAACATGGTTAAATGCTCCTTTTTCTAGCTTTTTTTGTTTATTTTTGTCTACTAAAACAGTTGTATTTTGTCATCTGGGTCTCTGATTGAGGTATGAAGCAATAACCCTGATGATACAGTATATGTTATTGTATGTATTTCATATTCATTGTGTCTGTCTCATCCAGGCACGGAATGGACAGGACCTAAGCAACGGATGTTGGCAGGTATAATCACAGACTACTTCTTTGGCTTTGGCTATATGCTTCTGGCCGGAGTGGCGTATCTCATCAGAGACTGGCGTAAACTGCAGCTGGCCATCTCAGCACCTGGTCTCCTCTTTGTCTCTTACATCTGGTGAGTGGGCTGCAGGAGGACTCGGATTTGGGACAGTGGGTACTGCTCTCCACTATTTTCAAATTCCCAAAACAGACGGCCCAACATACGTTGTGCTTTGTTAACGACACAGGAAGTCCCTTTTTAAGTCCCTGTGATGGAAAAGAAAATGTGTGGCAAACCCTCTCTGTCTTGCACAATATGTGCCAAATTCTTCATGAATTTTTGCAGAATGCAATGACATTCTGTGAGGAGTATCCCTCTTGCTATAGATCTTACTCAAGTATGATTTTATTAGTAACTCACCTTTTAATTCAAATGTACAAAGCAGGACACAGTTATAAAAGAATGTTTTCAAACATGCATAAGCCGTTATAGACAGAGAAGATACCTATACAAATACACAACATTGGTTATGTTACAGAGATGGAAAACGCTGGTTTATGCGGGCTGGTTTTTGTGTGGGTCAAAGGTCAGGTTCTGGCCGAGGGTTGCAGCCATGTTTCTCGTGGAGTGTTACATTTACGTTCGGAGGGCTTTCTGAGTTTAGCTGAAATGAAGCAGACAGGCGGTCATGGTGGGCACTAATATCGGCCACCTCGTTAGGCTCAACTGAAAAATGTGGCTTTGTGTCTGCTGAGCGTAGCAGAAGGGGGAGATGAAATTGAAGTCTATCAGGGCTAGAATATAATTTCATTATCACTGTGCTGTGATGGTGATGAAAGATTGATTGGAATGCATTGATTCTATATCCTCCTTAAATGGGAAGTTTTGGAGCAATATATCGCAGTTTCAAAATAGAATCTATCAATGACATTTTTATTTATTTTCTTTTACAAAAAGACTCTCGCCATCCTAAAACTGTCAGGAAACAAGAGGTTTCATAGGGATGATAATAATAATAATTAAGAGTAGGCTGGGACCCACGTTATTCAGGAGCTCTTTAAAGAATTGGAGTGGATTACGTCTGAAGGGCCGAATGAAAGGGGCAACAGGGAGAAAATATCAATGGGATTGTGCGAAGAGATGAAAGATGACAAGAAATTGTGACTCAAGAAACACAAGTATTTTTAAAATCAACAAAGAAAGAGAACGATTTCATAATGTACTTGGGAGGAGGCAGATACAGCAAGGTAGGCAGGCCTTAGAAGATGCTCAGTGGTATGGATCAGGGACTGTTTTCACTGATGCTGCCTGTAAATTAGGCAACTCTTACCTCTTCAGTGGGGCTTAAATAGCAATTAATTTAAACCGAGGATGATCCTCTTGATTCCTCCTACAGTTGACAAATGTTGTCATTTGTTGATGTCTGGAATGGTTAGCCTACCAAAACAACTAGTAGTGTAACTAGTGCAAAAGTAACGCATTTGTGGTTAAAGACTAAATCAAACCTAGAGTCATGTTAGGGGGTCAGGGTAAAAACAGGGTCAAGAGTGAAACCATATTGAACAAGGCCAAAAGTCTAATCAAAGAGCCCTCCAGCTCAAAGGGCCAAGCACAAGTGTTCGTCAGTAGGTCACCTGAATGATTTGCTTCTTCATTTTTAGGGTGTTGCCAAAATCAGCTCGCTGGTTGATGGCAAATGACAGAAAAGAGGAAGCATGGGAACTGATCCGTACAGCAGCGCAGATGAATGGGAAGCCCCTCACCAAAGATTTGGAGGTGTGTCAGGTAGAGATACCTATTTCTAACATACTGGTTCTTGTTTTCCACTGAATAGATATTTTCACATGTATTCATTTCTTTGAAATCATTACCAAATGGCCATTACGCAATGGCTATTTGCCTCCACCTAGTTATCTTTACAACGCCAGCGTCACCGCCTAGCGCCAGTACAGAATGCTTTCCCTTGCTCCAGCAGCAGTAAGAGCGCACTAACCTCATTATCACTCTAAAGCAAGTATCATTGCTTTGCATAAATGTCATTTTCATTCACACATGCAAACTACTTAAACAGTAATGTTCTGCCACTGTGCCACCCTGAGTCTAAAGTCTGTTGCTCACTGTCTGCATGTTTCTCCAGGTCCATAACATTGAAGAGAAAACCGTGGTGAAGAAAAAACATTCATTCATTGACCTTGTACGCACCCCCAAAATGAGGAAGCAGTCTTTGATTGTTTTTTATCTCTGGTGAGTATGAGTCTGTCCTGTTTCATTATATCGGTATTTATATCTGGATTTAGAATGCATCCATTATTTTCTTCCCTATGTCCATGTTATGACACACCAAAATAAAAAGCTCTCCAGTGGGTACATTTGGAGCTAGTTTGGTAACTTATACTAACTCCACTGGCTGATATCTGTGCCATACTGTAGGGCTTCGTATGGTTCTATTATTTGCGTGTTTTTAAGGTGTTACAATGGCACCCCCCCCCCCCCAAACAGCAAAACTCATTATCCAATCTGTAAAACTGAACAATGTTTCTTTTATAACACACTTATCCACACCATCTCTCGTTATTTCCTCTCTAGCCAAACAAGTCAGAGGAAAGCTTTTTGTGTGTGTATTTGCTGAGATTTTCACAAGATAGAGAAAATATAAAAGAGAAGAACAAAAAAGGAGGAAAATAATGCTTCATACAAGAAAGGTTATGCCACATCTCCCATTTCATTTTCAAGGCCAGTTCCCTTTCTCACTTTGAAATGTACCACGCTCCAAAAGGTTTGTTATTATCCAGCAAAAAGTTTGACACACTAGGAAATAAAGAGAAACATAAGGTGTAACAATACTACTGCCAACAAAACCTCGGACGTAAATCGTTATGTGTTTTAACATCTAAACAGAATAAGCCATAATGTTGAAGTAATGCATCCAATTTCATAGTAGTACATTTATTGTGACAATTGTTCATTTTTTGGCAACTTTCGTCTTCATGACTAAGGAAACCAAACTGGTAGATGAACTTAGAGGTCCAACGTTACTACTCTCTTTAGCATTGAAGGTGCTTCCCTTTATAAAACATGTTATTGTTATCAAATATTAACTTCCCTATTATAGTATTGCAGCATCTATAGTGAAAGATGACCTGATTATAAAACTGACTACGGGTTAAAATAATAATAATTATAACAGCCAGGTGATCCTACATCATTCATGCATATAGCAGTGAACGAGTTTTGATGGAATTGTATATATATTGTCAATATTGTTTATTGAACCTTCATTTATAATTTAGTTTAAGTTATTATAGTGTTATCATCTTCATCAGTGGTCCCCAACCTTTTTATCACCGCGGACCGGTCAATGCTTGACAACTGTACTGCGGACCGGGGGGGGTGTGAATATAAAGTGCATGAACATTTTTACTCACGATAACACCAAATCAATGAGAGCCCTGAGTTTGTTTCTCTGCAACGAGATGGCCCCATCTCCCATAGACTGGTTGCTTATGTCCAGTCTACTCCGTTGTTTTGTTTTGGTTGCTGTCACGGCAGAAAACCCCGCTTCACACAGATAGGATGTCGGAATGGCAACAGGGTTTTCAATGCTGTGGTTGCGATCTCCGGGTATTCTGCCATTACTTTAATCCAGAACACCGGCAGAGGTGTTGTCTCGAAAATACTTTTGAAGCCGCCGCTGTTTGCGATCTCCAGCAGTTGATCCTCTTCTTGCACAGACCTGCTGGATTCCCCTGGTTTGTTGATAAATGGATCGCGGATCCATTCCTTGGCAGTTCGTGGGTCCTTTTTGGTTGGGAAGTAGCGCTCGAACTCTTTTAAAAGCAAAGACAGGTGATCGTGCACCAGCTGGGAGAATGAAAGCTCAGGCTCAGTCTCGCACAAAATCCCCGCTAATGTTTGAAACATGTCCAATATGCCTCTGTTCACGCGCCGTCCCCACAAATCGAGTTTGGCTTTAAATGCAGCTACTTTATCTGCCAAGTTGAAGACCGTTGTCCGCTTTCCCTGAAGTGACAGATTTAATTCATTGAGCAGGCTGAATATGTCACACAAGCATGCCAGTTTTACGACCCATTCTTCGTCACTGAAATGTGCTGCCAGCGGTGACTTCTTTTCTGAGAGAAATCTTTGCTGCGGCTCTCGTAGTTCAAACACTCTGGCCAGCGATTTCCCTCTGGATAACCATCTTATTTCTGTGTATAAGAGAAGCTGTGTGTGCTCCGCGTCCTCCTCACAAAGCTGCTCAAAAAGGCGTGAGTTAAGGGCGTGTGCTTTGATGTGGTTAATAACTTTAACGACATCATTCAAAACGCTGTTCAATTCCGGTGGCATTTTTCGGCTTGCCAGCATTTCCCTGTGAATGATACAATGCGTAGATTCACACGCAGGTGCAACCTCCTTAATCCGAGCAGTTAAACCAAACAGCCGTCCGGTCATGGCCGCAGCTCCGTCTGTGCATATGCCGACACAAAAGGACCATTTAAGTTTTCCTAACATATAACCATCCAGCGACTTGAACAGTTCTGCGGCTGTGGTGTTGGTTGTCAACGATAGTGCACACAACATGTCCTCATGTACATCCTCCTGATAAAGATATCGCACATAAACAAGTAGTATTGCCTTGTTTCAACATCCGTAGATTCATCTACCTGGAGAGCGTACTATGGTGACGTATTAATACTCTCCAACAATTATTTCTCAATGTCTTCGACTATTCCTCAATGCGCCGGGTCACAGTGCTAGCCGACAAAGGTACCCATGCTATCTTGTTAACAGCAGCCTCTCCCAGAAGTTTGCGGCAAATGTCTTTAGTGGAGGGCAAGATCAACTCTTCACCAATAGTGAATGGCTTTTTAGCCTTAGCAATACGGTTAGCCACCAAGTATTATGCTCTCAGTGCTTTCGCATTTATTGATGTGGTGGCCGCCAGTAATTCCTTCTGTCCTTCGTGTTCCTGTTTTTTTCTTTCAAAATACTCCGGGAGCTTGTTTTTTAATCCAGGGTGCTTGGTCTCAAAGTGGCGAAGCAATTTTGAAGGCTTCATTGCCTCGTTAGAGAGCCGTTCGCCGCAGTTCAAGTAGAACTCCTCGTATTGTCTGTTAAAAACTTTCTTTTTCTTGGAGGTTGTAGGCTCTTCTGTCTCTTCACTGGCCCTTTTCCCCTTCGAAAAGAAACTTTCCAAAGACGTCTGTGTTTTGCTCATTTTGCTAGCTTGTGGGTTAAATTTTTGGCGCTCAAGTGTAACTGAGAGAATCCATTCATTTTTCAAAATAAAAGACTGTCCAGAAAAATGAACGGAAATAATTATTTCTTGGGCGGCCCGGTACCAAACGGCCCGTGGACCGGTGGTTGGGGACCACTGATCTTCATGACTGATATATTTTTTAAACCTTAAACCTTTTTAAACAATGGATGTCATGTGTACAGAGGGAACAAGGTAAAAGATGTACAATACATTCAATTAATACGACAGAAATGATCAAATATCGTGAGTAGTAAGTAAGGTGTACGGCAGGACCACTGCAGGGACAACCACCATCAGACAGAACCATGATCCATTGAAACCTGTGAGGTGAGAAAGCACAAATACAAAGTTGGTGATGCGAGAGAGTTTGAGCTGACTGTGTCTGTCCCCCAGACTGAAAGTGGAAGCTTGAGGAGGAGCTTGATAACTGAAGGCTCTGGCTCCCATCCCACTTTATAAGACTCTTGGAACAACAAGTAGCCCAGCATTTATGGAGCGCAGCTCTCTAGTAAGGCTGACTTCAAAGGCGCTCTGGGCCTATAAAGACAACCTGTCTTGTCTTGTTCTGACTTCTGAGTTTCGAATTAGAAAATTGCTTGTGATGCAAGACATTCTTGTCCAACAAGCTGGTCGGTCTCATCTGCATAGCAATGGAGGGTTATGCAGTGTTTGCTGATAACATTTCCGGAAGAAAGCATATATATGGCAAATAAAATTGGTCCAATCACAGCACCTTGTAGGACTCACCAACAGGATTCACAATTTACAAATACAAACTGGGATCGATAAATATGACTTAAACCAGCTGAGTTTGGTTCCTTTAATACCAATTAAATGTTCTTTACAACATGATACAACGATCAATGGTGTCAAATGCGACACTGAGGTCCAGCAAAACAAGAACAGAGACGAGTCCTTGGTCCTGCTCCATGCTCTATAGGTCCCTTCTAAAAACATGATTAGGGTATTTCTCCGATAATTCTTCAAGCATTTTCTTCAAGCTCTACTTTTTTTTTTTTTTTTTTAATGAACCACGTGCATTTGTATTAAATCGATCAGCTGTGTACTTTAAGTTGTGAGACGGAGATAATAACCAGGGCAGCTGTGAAATCATATCAACTAATACAGGTCCTGAAGTGCAAAACACAACGGCAAATAGGAAAACACAAGAAAGGGTAGGGCCTTAAAGCAGAGGACGGACCCTTCTGATTGGACAGACGGACCGTCTGTCTTTTAACAGGAAATGATACAGGGCTCTCAAGTGTCACGCACTCCGGCCACACATACAATTCCTCACCCCAAGGATCCGCTCTCTGTCCCCGAGCTGTGTGGTATATACGTCGTGGGGGTCGGAACCCACACCCCGACCCTGTTTTATTTACTTTTATTTACAACACCCAAATATAATTGAACAACAAAACACCGGTAAAACAATGGTGAAACTAGTAGGACACTTTTAAGACACTGTAAAACATCGCAATCTCTCCCTGACTTTCTGCTGCGGCTCTCTTGCTGCGCTCACTTCCACCCCTCATCACAGGCTCTCCCGCCACTGATTTCTTGATTGCCATAATATCTAGGAAGCTGCATTTCTCAGCTTTCAGAATCCGATTGTGCAAATAGTTAAGGAGTCACAGTAATTTGAATCCTCCATGTCACTTTCCGTCGCCGGCGAAAGGCTTCGGATTAAGATGGTTAAAAGACAGACATTCCGTCTGTCCAATCAGAACGGTCCGTCTTCTGATATCTGCTATAAGGACCTACCCTTTCCGTAAGAAGTTAATTTCGTTGTGTTTTCCTATTTGCCGGTGTGCGTTCCTATTTGCCGTTGTGTTTTACACTTAAGGGCCACCGTAAATGCATGCAATTATTTATTAATCAAAGTAGACAACGTGCTGAAATGTTCCCAGCATGTGTGTTCATTAACCAGAGGAAGGAACACTCTGGACCTGGTTTGTCCAGTGCTCCCCCTTGGCTGCTCTGA